ATTTAAAAATAAGCCCCTTTCCTTTCTCATAAATGCCCCTTTTCACCTCAGAAAATAGTCCCTTTTCTTTCTCATGCTAGTGCCCAGTTACATCTCTGGTAAATGACCCTATTCAATTCTGAGAGAAACTCGTTTTTATTTTGACAAGTGCCCCTTTTCCTCCTGAAAAGTGCTCTTTTCATCTCTAATAACAGCCTATTTTATTTTGACACGTGCCCCTCTTCCTTTCTAATAAATGTTTTTTTTCCTTCTTATAAGTGCCCCTTCCCCTTTTCATAACCCCCCCCCCCCTTTCACCTCCAATAAATGCCCCTATTAAAATCTGATCGGTGCCCCTTTTCGTTCAACAAACGCATATTTCCCTTTATTATTAGTGCCTCTTTTCCATTCCCATAAGTGCCTTTTTCATCCCTGGTGAGTGCCTCTTTTTAGATATAAGAAGTGCCCCCATTTTCACCTCTGATAATTAACCTCTGTACTTTGACACGTGCTACTTTTCTTTTCTAATAAGTGTCTTATCCCTTTAGATAAGTGTCCCCTTTTCCTCTCATCGTTAAACGTGCCCCTAATTTCAAGCGACTAAGAGAAATTTCCCCAAAAGCTCGCTCACTACGCTCGCTTGCATTTATTGATGTTGTAATTATGTTACTTATCAAAGGTCTTTTCAGTCTGCTGTAATGATAATGTGCTAACCCCATCAGGATTGGGTTTTTACTCTTTATAAGATGTAATTTCTCGCACTGCGACCTCATAAATCTTTAAAAAAATTCCTCGCTCGCTTTGATCGCTCGCAAATGATTTTTCGGACCATCATACCCAACTGCAAGGTATGATGCTTAAGCAATAACGTATGAAGATAAACAAATATTGAAATCATCCCTGATAAGGTAATGACATTATAGGGGTATATACCAATGTCTAAAAAATTGAATATTTTCGCTTTGCGATTTCCCGTAGGGGCCCTCTTTTCCAGAAAGTGCCCTTTTTTGTTGGTGCCCCTCTTCCCCCCCCCCCCCCCCCCCCCCCCCACTTGGGAAGTCGCTCTGCCGCCTCCGTCTGTATGATATGGTTTTCACTCATTTACTTCCCGGTATTTCCCGGGAAATTGCGAATAGCCTATTTCTATAGCAGGTCAATGGCCATTTACAAAGCTAAGAGTTAGGCACGCCCATGACGCGTACAAAAGAGTGCTATTATGAAGAAAAAAATCATCATAATGGTTGCCGGAGAAAACAGACTCCAATATTTTGCTTTATTTTGCGATATGTTTTCAAAACATGTTTATCTGTTTCCTTGACGGCTATTAAAAACTCCCCAGGGGAGAAAATCCCCAGAGAGTTATTGAAAAGTGATAGATTAATAACTTCATCGCTTTTTGATCCACTCTCCTATTGTCATCCCGGATTGTCATTCAATATTATTGGGTCCATGATTGTACTATCTAACGGAGGATAATCAATCAATATTGATTAGTGTCTAGGGTGCGTATCAGCGCACTGAGCTGAGACAGAATCTACTCGTAATAAGAATAACAAATTAAACAAAGCGCTTTGCTTCTGGGCACTTCCATAATGACTAGGGGAAGTAATTTAAAATTTAATTTTCCAAGTATTTTATGTTTTATTAAACCTTTATTGCACTGAATTGAATAGAACTAAATTCAAAAGGGATTTCCCAATCTCGTCATGGATTGTGAAATCAAAATACGCCCAGTCAGGCTCCCACATCTCATGATAATATGAATCCATGTTTTCTTCTCTAGACCACGACTAAATAAATACAAACAATTTGTTTCAACTAAAATAAAAACTACGTCATTGAGGAAAATGGGACCCTAGATATTGATCGTTCCCTATACTAACCTGGCATTAGTATCAACAAAGAAGGGTATTTTCTTTTCTTTAGTTATTTTTTTGTTAGTGTATTGAAGGACACACATGCATGCCTGAATCTATTGTGTGGCAACAGCCTAATTTATGCAAGAGGTTTCAAGGTAATTCCCACCCTATTCCCAGCTACGAATTCTAAACAAAGGCTTCGTTATTGATCGCATAATTGTATTTCGTTATAAAAATTTCCAAGTACATTTCCATAATAAACATCATTTCACCCACCCACCAATTTGGTAAAGTTGTAGATTTCAAGAAAGCAACATATCGTTATTATTTTTATGTGACAGTTGAACTGTTGATTTTGCTCTATATTGCTTGACTGCTATAAACAAAACTAAAACCAAACTATAAACGAAACTACAAAAGAAAATAGAAATTAAACTGTATATAAGATAAACTACAAATAATACAATATATTCAAATATAGATAAAATTGTATATGAACGCACTTTAAGTAAAAACAATATTACATCCCGAGCCTCGTAATAATTCTCCCTTCCGCTTTTCTAAAACTCTCTCCCTCTCTCGCTTCCCCCTCTTTCTCTCTCTCTCTCTCTCTCTCCCCCCCCCCCCCAACTTTCTTTTTCTTCTTTTTCTTCTCTCTCACTATCTCCCACCCTCTCACTTCCTCTCCCGTGCTCTTTATCTCACTATCTAACTGTCTATTTATCTAATGTTATCCATCTATCTATTCACCCTCTTATAATGGATATGTTTCAGCAATAGAGTACTCGAGTCGTAAAAATAAAAGATAATATAAATCAATCAATGATTTAAAGCACTTCGTCCACATAAACAATCAAGGAAGAAAAAGTAAAAACAAGATTATATTGGGTGTTCCCTGTATCAGTATATATTGCATCGTAATATATATATATATATATATATATATATATATATATATATATATAATATATATATCTAACTTTAGCATAGTATCGTTCATTTATCAAAATATGCTTCGAACATATCTGAAAGTGGCTCGGTAACATTGTTGAAGGTTGATGAAAAAATTGCGTAATTTGTGTATGAAATGTTACTTATTATATTCCTTCTCTGTACTTACCCTCTAACATGAAAAAATCCCGAAAAAATTCTCAAATCACAAAGATATTTACGGTTTTCTTTGAAGGTGTCACTGTGCGACACCCTCTTACAGTGATTAACAGTAAATTCTCCCAACCATTTTTTAATTTTTCCAACCGTTTGTCCATGAAAATAAGACATCAGACAGGCTTTTAAAAATCTGTCAACACTTAAAATGTCTGGAATGGTATTTTGAGCCAATTCATTGCTTTGTGAAGATTTAAATTCAACTAAAATGTAATTAAATTGTCATAATATAGTTGGGTGAATTAAGGAACCGATCAGATCAGTTTTTCCAAATTGTTGTCGTTAATAATGGTCCGTTTTCACTCAAACTTTCAGATTATCTTGTACATTAAGCATTGAAGTCACTATACCTTAGCACTATTTCCTCTCATCTGAACAATGTTGCAAAATCCCTTTAAATCATGAACCTAATTACGTATTAGCATTAAATGTACATGAAATAAAATGACATCAAAATAAGGTACATTTACTTGGAATCTTGTGAGATAAATATATATATACCAACTATTCCATCATAGAAAGAATATAAACAAGAATCTATGGATTGCAGACGTGGTAATTCATCATTACCATGGCCTAGGTCTTATCATGACTGCATATGGATCAACAGTAGATGGCGACATACCTCTGCCTGGCATCACCTTCACACATTGTGTACACAGATCTCGATCTACACATTATTTTGGTCATAAAGGTGGAATAATTTCTTTTTACCCAAGTTTATAGAATGATTTTGACAATGATTTATTCTTAATAGATCTAGATAATAGTATACAATCTCAGATTTTATTGAATAATAGTTTGCAAGTGTGCGTTTTACGTGACTGCTAAATCATTTGTGTGCTACTATCAGGGGCGGCGATTTCTTTTCATGACCGGAGGGGGGGGGGGGGCGAATTGCGAGGGACGAGGGAGCAAGGGCGTAATGAGCAAAAACGTTTTGGGGGCAGAAAAAAAATCCCCATCACCACCACTCTTACATGTTATGCAGGCCCTGGGAACCTGGGGGCTAAAGTATTTACGATCAGGTAGAGCAAAGCAAAGCAAAGCAAAGTAAGCTCAGGTGTTTTAGGCATTTATTAAAGTCAGATGAGCATAATTATGTTGATAACTTATTTGTATACACTACCATGCAGGTCACTAATCGAAGAAGGGTTCATGGGGCGGAACCCCCAGAAGCTCAGGGGTTTTAGGCATTAAATTACATTCAGATGAGCAACCAGGAGCCCACTTTAGGGCCCTTGGTGGGGTCCAGGGGGCAGAGCCCCCGGAAGCTCAGGCGTTTAAGGCATTGAATTACGGTCAGATGAGCAACCAGGGGCCCGCCTTTGGGCCCTTGGTGGGTTCCAGGGTGCAGAGCCCTGGAAGCTCAGGGGAAAGACATGCCATTTCAGCAACATTTGTAAATCACTGGTATTGAATTAGAAATAAACCACGTTTGAATTTCATTTGGGGGAAACTGCCCCCGCAGCCCCCCCCCCATCAGTATACGCAAGTGTCTCCCCTCCGTTTTTCTAAAACTGTCTTCCTCTCTCACTTACCCTCTTCTTTTCTCTCTCTCTCTCTCTCTCTCTCTCTCTCTCTCTCTTTCTGTCTCTTGGTTTTTGATCTCATTTATTTATTGTTTATGTCCCCTCTTTCTCTCTGTCTCCCTATTTCTCCTCTTCCTCTCTCTCTTTCTTCCCCTACTTCTCGTCTTCTTCGTCTTCCTCTTTTTCTCTCTCTCTCTCTCTCTCTCTTCAGCCTCTCCTCCCCCCCCCCCCCTCTCTCTCTCTCTCTCTCTCTCGTGCTGTATATCAAATTTTGTAATGGTTTGTCTATCTATCCATTCATCTATTCACCCTCTTGTAGTGATACTACATGTCAGGAATCGGGTAATAATTGAGTTTTAAAAATTAAAAGATATAGATCAATCAATGATTTTAAGATCATCTTCAACAAACAATCAAGAAAGAAAAATCAAAAGATTTTTTATTGGGTGTTCCCTTAATCAGTATATTTTATATCATAATGTATAAATATTTATAACATTTGCATAATATTGTTCATTTATAAAACATGTCTCAAACACATCTTAAATCCTGAAGCTAATCACGTATCAGCATCAAATTTACATGAAATAAAATGGCATCAGGATAAGGTACATGTACTTGGAATCGTGTGAGGTAGCATCATAAATATACCGACTATATTCCACCATAGAAAGAATGTAACCAAGAATCTATGGATTGCAGACGTGGAAATATTGTCATTACCAGTGTCTTATCATGACTGCATATGTATCAACAGTAGATGGCGACATACCTCTGCCTGGCATCACAGATCTCGATCTACACATCAAGTCATGAAGGTGGAATAATTTTTTTTTACCCAAGTTTATGGAATGATTTTTTTTTTTTTTCTTTCTGTTTTTATTGTTTTTTCTGAAAAATTAACAGAGTAAAAGCAGCAATATAAAATATAATATCATCTTAAAACTACAAAACAGGCACGTTTATGGAATGATTTTGACAATGATTTATTTTTAATAGATCTAGATAATAGTATACAATCTCATATTTTATTGAAAAATAGTTTGCAAATGTGTGTTTTACGTGACTGCTAAAGCATGTGTGTGCTACTATATTTATCAACTAGGGGACCTACGGCCTTAAGTCATAAATGACAGTAATGAGGGCACTAATATAGCACATCGACGCGGTTTTTATCCTGGGGCTTCACAGTTACGAGGCCATTTCTTTGCCACTGAATCATGACTGTACGCAGCGGGGGCTAGCAAAAGGGGCAGCCCCCAAAAATATTTTTTAATGCAATAAATTATAAATAATTCATTGGATTTTGCCCCGATCCCCAACATGAAAAATCCTCTGTGTGGCCATGTCTTTTTGTTGTATATAATTGAAGGACCCACATGCATGTCTGAATCTATTTTTGGGCAACGGCCTAATGTAAACAAGTCGGTTCGTGATTAATTATTCCCACCTACAAGACTAGTACAAAACAAAGGCTCCGTTGTAGTGTGCATAAATTACATTTTATTTTTAAAAAATCCAAGTAGATTTCCATAGCAAAAATTATTTCACAGCACCCACCCTTTTAGTAGATTCGTATGCTTCAAGATAGCAAAATATCGTTATTAATTTTATGTCACTGATGATTTTGCTCTATACTGCTCGACTGCTATAAACCAAACTATAAACGAACATATTAAACCACTCCTATATCAAACTATAAATGAAACTATGAATTATACTGTAGGAGAAATATAAATAATACTACAAATGAAACTAAATGAAACTATAAATGAAATTGTATGAATGCACTTTAACTAAAAACAAAAATACATCCCAAGCCTCATAATAATGTGTCTCCCCTCCACTTTTCTAAAACTGTCTTCCTCTTTCACTTACCCTCTTCTTCTTTTCTCTCTCTCTCTCTCCGTCTCTTGATTCTATGATCTCATTGATTCATTTATGTTTATGTCCCCTCTCTCTCTCTGTCTTTCTCTCCCTACTTCTCAATTTCTCCTCCTCTCTTTCTCTCTCTCTCTCTCTCTCTCTCCAGCCTCTCCCTCCCTCTCTCTCTCTCTCTCTCGCTCGTGCTCTATATATATCTAACCTTTTATGTCAGGAATCGGGTAATTGATTGAGTTGTAAAAATAAAAGATAGATGAATCAAAAATTTTAAGAAAATCTCCAACATAAACAATCAAGAAAGAAAAACTCAAAAGATATTCTATTGGGCGTTCCCTGAATCAGTATATATTATATCATAATGTATATATATATATATATATCTATAACATTTGCATAATATTGTTCATTTATCAAAACATGTCTCAAACACATCTTAAATCCTGAAGCTAATCACGTATCAGCATTAAATTTACAAGAAATAAAATGGCATCAGGATAAGGTACATGTACTTGGAATCATGTTCATAAATATACCAACTAATCCACTATAGAAAGAATGTGAACAAGAATCCATGAATTGCAGACGTGGTAATATTGTCATTACCAGTGTCTTATCATGGCTACATATGGATCAACAGCAGATGGCGACATACGCTTATTGGCATCGGGTCCTAGTTGGCATCACCTTCACAAAAAAAAGTCACTTCACTTCAAAGAGCAAATTTAAACATTGCAATTACTGGCAGCCAAATTAAGTGTTTAATTGGTGTTTTATTTCCATCGATACTATCTGGTTTTGCACACAAATCGTAAACCTCACAAATCTCAAAGGAGCGGTGTGTCAAATTTCCGAAATTAAGAGGCAGTGCTCTGCATATCTGGACAATGAAGTTTTAGGAATGGACCACTTTATAAATTGTATCAGACAATACTGTTTCACTGTGTTAACTAGTTTATCCATAAAACAATTCCCATTTAACCCTGATCGTGTCAGCTACTGTATTCCTAAATGTGGTCTTACAAGGTGACATCAAAGGGAAATTAAATCTCAACAAACAACTACTCTTGAAGAAAGCAGAAAAATCAGAGAAGCAGACTGGTGAAAATTTGAATTAATTGAAACCACAAAAAAAAAAAAGAGATTCACGAATTTTTGAAAGTTTTAAAACTATATGAAAGGGTGCTTCAAATTTGATAAATTGGTAATGTCACTGTGATGAAGTGCTGGACCATATGTTTCAACACAATAAATGATTAAAATGTTAATTTTTTTCAAAATGTATGATTCAGGAGGGTCTTTTATTTGCCCCAAAGGAGTGGGCACTTATGAGAAAAAGGGAACTATGATGATAGTTTGGTACAAGAAAAACAGAGTTGTCCCATGACTGCATCCCTACAACACACAGTGATAAATAAATACATTTCTCTAACAAAATGGCAGGCAACACTTAATCTCAATGATTAGTGATATTTTTGTACTGTACATGACAAACAGGAGAGTTGTTGGTCAATACGTCACAATCCACTGACAAATTGCCAATTTGATATTTGCACAGCTGTAGTGAATCTCATATTTCAAACATTCAAAACTTTATTAATAGTCCGATTTATTTCAAACTTTCGCCAATCTGTTTCTCTGATTTTCTGCTTTCATTCAAATGAATTATTACAAGCCAGGGTTGGATTGACTTATGTCTCTGGTCGGTGGCAATTTGCATGATTTGCGTAATTTGCATATATATAAAGACAAATTGTCATTCATAATAACTTAATATGCACAGGGAGCAAGTAGTTTAGAATACCAGAAGCAGTACCGGCACAGTTAAGAGGTGAATGGTACAAGCAGTGGCATACGCAGGATTTTTTCAAGGTTTTTTTTTTTTAAATCGGGCCCAAAATTTTGCAACTACTCAGCCAGCTGCTGAATAAGCGGGGGAGGGGAAGGTAAGGTCACCTTTTTTAGGTCAGCCGGTGGCATAATTTTTTTTCATTTAAAAAAAATAAATTAAAAAAATAAATAAATAAGAAGGGGGGGGGGGGGTTGCAAAAAACATCCACAAAACATACACATAAAAAAACTCAAGGGGGGAGGGGTTTAACCCCCCCCCCTGCATACGCGCCTGGGTACAAGTACTTGTACAGTAAGGTAACCTCATAAGAAAAGTTACACTGTACTCATGTTATGATAAACGTGGGCAGTTCCTATACAAATTTTGGCCTAATCTTTGGAGGCAACCTTCTATTTGCTTGTCCTGAATGAAATGATAAAATAGACAATTACCTAAATTTGGAGATGGACTTATCACAATGGCTTTAAATAAACTGACCCACATCTAAAGTACTACACAGTACACACTACAAAATACCACCAGCATAGATGTACATGTACATGTACATGTATACACACATCATTAATACTGAAAGTCACTTTGTCTTTTAGTTGCTCACCAGGTTAAACGTTGTAAACTTATGGGTGTAAATTGATCGATACCTGTGAAGTTTTGTGCTTGCTAGTGAATGTATTTAATTTAGGAGGCGACTTGGCTTTGTCGGTAAAGCGTCTGCCTGTCGGACCAAAGATCTCGGGTTCAAATCCCATCCAGGCGTATAGTGAAGCCTGCGTTGCATGTAAACGTGCCCCTCCCCTTATTTCATAGACGCAGGTTATGTTAAGTGGAAAACACTCCGTCTCTCGGATAGGATGTTAAATGGAGGCCCCATGTACAGGAGAGTCACCAATCTTGCATGTTAAGAACCCACTGCACTATTCGTATAAGAGTAGGGGGAAACCCTGATGTATTGGACCACCTGCACAGCCCAATCAGGCAAGTACATGCGGCATCTGCAAGAATCTTCAGTCTTGAAGGAGGCAGATTATCTTTAAGAACACCGTGCTTAAAAGTAGTGGACAATAATTTACATTGAATGGTTAACTAATAGTAATACATTTACTTGCACCTTTTCCACACTTAGCCTCCATGTTAAATGATTTTGTTAACAAGTCGGACTAAATATGTACAGGTACAGTGTAGCCTCATTATAAAGAGCTCAGATATAGGTATCTGTTATAAGAAGGTGATTTTGCTCGTTCCAGCTCTTCATTTTTGTATTTTGTTTACCCTCATATAACAACATTCCTAACATAAGTTAATTTCCGTGGTCCCAAGGACCTTGTTATTTATGAGGTTCCACTGTATACACATTTGTTACGACAAGTTTGGAGAATGAAATTATCTCCCATTTAAACACCATTTTTAAGAAGTTCAACTTTGGTCATTTATCATGCAATATTCATGATCTCAATCCTTACAATATTTTGAATGAAATTTCAGCTGCAAGTATTATTAATACATCGTACTAGTTTTTTCCCCAAATTTGGTAGCTTTGTGGAATGTTGTGGTGCATAAAACATGAAACCTTGACTATTTAACAAAGAATGCATCTATACTAATCAACATCCAACCTTTCCATATTATAACCAGCCTACCAGGGTGAGCACTGATGCACTTGTATCTGAAATTACAACAGATGCTCGACTAGCTAGTCCCTCAAGAACATTATAAATTCAAGTTCATCATGGACATCCCCGATTCCCCATTAAAACGCATGTCGAATTCACAACATGTTTAAATGGCATCTGTTCTACAGACTTACTGCAAACTAATGATAGCCCCAGATAGGTGACAAATGATTGTCAATTTTAAAAACTACAGTCTATGGTAAAAAGACGAGGTTTCAAGTGTACATGTTGCAAAAATAGAGAAAGAACTAAACACATCTGTTGATTACGAACTCCTGTAATGAAATTATGATTGTGAGACTTTAGTGAACTTGGTCACACGCACTGTCTCTGAATGATTCATTTCATAATTTGCTTCCACTAGATGAAAGCATGTCTTCTTTCTTGTTCCTCTCCATGTGGTCTATAAAACCCTGAGCTAAATTATCATGATCGAAGCCTGGTTCCATTTCAAAGTCTGGAGCTCTCTGGTATACGACACAAGCAGCTAGGATACAGAGATACGCTGTTAAACCGTAAGTCATAAACTTCTTGCCATTTATGGTGTGTTCAAAGAAGTGAAGCCAAGCGAATCGTCCTTTATTTGGCGTTTTTTGTGACTTGTGGTGATCATGCAAGAGGAAATCAATGAGGGGTACACGGAAGACATCGTCTACTTCATTTGGGTTGATATTGGGTTCAAAGGTCTCAGGGATGAATCCTGTTATTGGTGTGATGAAGTATCCTGTACGGGATATCATTGGAGGAAGCTGGGACACCACCTCAACGTCCACACTGTGAAGACCAATCTCCTCCCAAGCCTCCCGCAGTGCTGTCATGGTTTCATCCTTATCCTCGTCGTCCTGCTTACCACCTGGGAAGGCGACATCACCAGCATCGTTCCGGAGATGGGCCGCCCTCACTGTCAGAAGTATCTCAACGACTCCATTTTGGCAGAGTATCAAAGGCAAAAGAACTGATGCTCTCTTCTTCTGACTTGCATACAACAATATATCTGGCTCTCGCAATCTTTTACTGAGGTCTCTTTCCTGGAGTCTGGTTTTGATAGTGGATTTGTTGAGGCTTTCCATGTTACCTGCACTAGATCTATATCTTGTTTTTTATCAAGGCACGGATTAGCCTCAAGCTCAGCTCAGCTGACTGAAAAGAATCCCAGCACCAGACATGGACACCAGCACTCAGTCTCATGCAGGCTCAGCAACCAACTTGTACTGAAATCATATATTTGGCTTTCCAAAGCACATCCAAATGTCATGTAGACCTACAATGAACAACCAGTATAGACTTGAAAATTCTCACTGTAGTTTTAGCAGTCTTCTTCTTCTTCTGATTAAGTCTGCATGCCGGCTGCATGCCTCCTTCAATTGACTGAAGATTCTTGCAAACTATGTGCGTGTGTGTGTCTCGAAGTACGGTAAGAAATTCTTTGATCTCGTCTACATGCCGTCGAAGTGCAGGTTAAACAGCAGTCTGTTTTTGTGTCGCGCGCCCAATCATCAGCTGGGATTGAAATAACAAAGTCTTTTTACACCGCTCCATACCGTGTGTGTCTCGAAGTACGGTAAGAAACGGGCCACGCCCCTCTTCGTTCAGAGCGAGCGAATATTTACTCCAATATTATTAAAACGACAACATATCACGCATGATATTCCATGAGACCACGGCACATCATGGCTCTACTAATACGAGATCTACATCAAATGGTTTATTGTCGAACCATCGACGATAGCTGGCGTGATTTTAGTTCAGTAAATGATACATTTTGACTCGGAACACTATTCCTACTTCTCTTTAATAAATTAATTTCACGTTCTGTACGCGTGAAGAACATTGTAACTGATCCGTGATGGATGCTACGTTTACAATACGAACAAAAAAGCAAAAATTGGATTCTGAAGCAATCTCCGATTTCGCTCAAAAAGACTGCTTACCACAGAAGATCGACCGTCAACCGGCAGACCCGCCGCCATATAATGTCAACGACGAAGATAAGCGGGAAGATTTAAACGGGGCAGGGGATGAACAGCACTCACCGGCACCCCAAACTCCGGCGAAGACTAAGAACGGAGATGGCTCGCCTGTTGCCGCAGAGCAAAACAGCAGTGGGTTTGGTGACGAAATCGCACCTGACGATGACATCAAAAGCAGTGATTCATCATTAGACGAAGATAATGCCAATCCAAATATATTTCCCCCAATATTTCAGACAGATAATCTTACGCTTGATGAACGCCTCCAAGCTTATTCAAATATCTTCCTTACCAAATCTGAATATGGAAGCAGCTTTGATATTCATCAGGAAATGTATTGGTTTTTAACAGAAACAGTCCTCGAGACATGTTGGACAGGGATCTGGAAAGTCGATGACAACTGTGACGTTGTTGTTGAGGTGAATTTGAATCGTATATGCATCATTATTGATGATTATTAACAATAACAATTCATAAATTAAGTGAAAAGATCTGTCATTAGATATTTAATATTTGTCATGTATGTATGGTGGCCGTGGTGTGACCCTGTGACCCAAGTTTGCTATCTCATAAAATGGGTAAGATTTCGAAAATCTAATATCACCAATGAAAAGAGGAACATAAAATTTTACAGACCAGACTGCCAGAGATGGATTTTTCTCTGGAATAGGGTGTGAAATAGTGAAAATATTGAAAAAAGATCTGCATTTTTTGTGGTTATTTGCATCCGTTTCAAAAAATTATTCTCTATCAGGGTCTGGATTTCTTCATTTTGAGAGCAGCTAGGTATCCTCAAAATTGTAAGTAAGTGGAAATGTCTGATTGTATGATATCTTTCCTTGCAATTTATGAAATTAATCTTATTTTTGATTGATCACATTGTTATATAAATCTCTGTAAATGCTATTCTTTAGTTTGAACAGTAAAACAACTTTCATCTTTCTCAGACTTGAAAAACAAAAATACAAACCAACTTTAAATAAAATAAAATATTTATCTCACATGTAGTTAAGTGATTGCATCTGCTTTTAATTCAATTTGTTGTATCTACTTGTATGTTGTATTTAGGTTGACAGTGCTCCACATCCAGCTAGTAAACAGCAGCACCTGAAGGCCAAAGTTCATTTGAGTGAGCCCTTCCGATCAATACTTGATGGAGATCCCTGTACAGAGGAGAAGCCGGATGAGAAAAGTGAGGTGGAAAGGAAGATAAGTGCACTCCTGGAGCAGTCTGAGGGACTTGTGGACTTCACTGATCTCTACCCCATCTTTAACAAAACTGGCGTGCTTGACAATACTGCCCTGGCCATCGAGCATGCAAGGTAAGGAGAACAGTGAAATCCTAGACAGAAATAACCATCTGATATCGGTCATTTCTTTAATAAAACTGACATTTGTTGACATTCTATAATCGGAGGTCTAGTGGAGCCAGACGTAGTCTCAGTGGAACTACCGACGATATAGAGAGACTGAAGCTTTTGGTCTAGTGAAATCCTTGCTTCTGATTGGTTATCAGCAGATTTGTCACTGATTTTTGTCATTGAAAAAAGGCTTTGTGAAATGGGTCCCTGGAGTATGTTGTTAGCAAATAGCAATGGATCTCAAGTGGAGAACAGTGAACAGGGACTAGAACATACTCTAAGGCTGCGTTCATGCTTAAATTTTGAAGGCAGAATGAGCGATCTGAAACGCTCATCGTAAACGCTCATCGTGATCGCAGTTCCACGATGTAGTGTTCATGCTTACTTCTCTGGCTCCCCCAGGCAATTCTCAGTGTGTGGCCTTAATTGGTCTTCCAGCTGGATTCACAAACCTTCACTGTGCATGCTACGTAGACCCACTAGAGGTCAGTGCGTTGACCCCATTTAAACGCGTTTACAAATTGTAAACGCATCTTTTTGTGAGTTTACGATCGGCGATCGTGATCGCCGTTTTTCGGTGATTCTACAAAAGTGAGCTAAGACGCAACCGTGTTTTAAACTAAACGCGTAACAGATGCCTGATTCTGGCCGTCAAAATCAAGCATGAACGCGCCCTAAGAGCAACCTTGTGGCAATTGATTAGACTTTACAATCTTTGGCTTATCCATAAATTGTATATTCAAGCCCCCCCCCCCCTACAAAAAGTGAGGATGGGGCTATTTTTAATGTTTCACTGGAATTTGTTGCAACTTTTAAATTCCTTTTTCAAACAAAAGATGCTTGGTGATGCCTGGTGAATGCCATTAAATCATCTTGGTAACATCATGGCAACCATGAAATAAAATCTTATATATTATAGGCCATCATACTGAAATACAAAGTGTGCTTGTTGTTTGTTTGATAGGTTCTTTTACCAAAATCTCTGGAGACCTATGGATGACGAGGATGAGACTAGCGGGTCCACATACATGGATAAATACCTCAAGCCAAGACTACAATTGTAAGTATCATGCACAAAATATATATCGGTCTCCTTCACGAGATGCAGAAGTGCATCCACTCTCATTAACCTGATATTAACATTAATGAAAAGACATTGGTCACTATACAGTCAAGATTCCAGATTCAAGTTTTATTGTCCATAATGATACAGAAATTTGTTTCCCATTGGTGTACTCTTATATATATGATATAAACATACATTCAAGCCCTACATTCTACAGACAACTCTCATTTCTATGTGTACAACTCTTGCACAAAGATTACAATTGATTAGTGATTCAGGGCCTGACCTTTACTTTTTTTTTAGGGAGCCAGCCGGGCTCCTCAAGCACTTTTTCAGGGAGCCCGCAGGGGTTTCAGGGAGCCCAAGTTTATCACGTTTTTTTTGTGGTCATAATAATGGTCATTTCCGCTCAATGACTGCGCGAACATTCCATTGATTATATTTCTCATGCAATCGTTACCAAACAACACAGGCACTATGTTGAAAGTGTCGACGTGACTCACTATTTTCATGAATGAAATCTTGCAAATAAAAGCTCAGTCGTAATAGCAGACGAAACGTGATTGAAATAGTCAAATACTTTTTTTTAATTTTATTAATCAAATGACGTATTACTATATGACAGCCAACCCATGGAAGGCTAAATTACTTTCAGTTTACAATAAAAACATTTTGTGAAATACATACACTGTAAGAAAAAAACACACAACAGTTTATAGTAGTACACAAACCTTGCGAAAACATATGAAAGAAATAATAAATTCATTTATTGATTGCCGTTAAGTTAGTCCAACGACATTCAAGTCAAACTTTTTTATTCCATATTTTATTCTTTTCAGTCCCTTTGACCGTTTATACACGCCGTTTTAACGATTAGCCACGAATCTCCCTAATTCGTACATAATGTTCACAAAACAACAATCAACCCCTTTTTACACAGTTTTACACACGCCTTTGAAGTTTGTAGTTCGTAAAATTATGTTCAAACAATAATCAAGTCCATCCAGGTACGCACGCTGAAGAATAAGCACTCACGATCACAAACACGAGTCGACGTAAACATACACTCAGCTCTGGCAACGCAGCGACCACGTGCGTTTGTCTTAGTGTGTACATTCTCTGAGTGCACCGACATACAATGCAGCATGTATTGCGCACTCGTTACGAGTGCGGAGATATAACGTTATCATGCATGGCATTCCTGCACTGATCTCGATGTGTTTTCTTTTGCAACTCATTATTCGCGCTGGAGTTGAGCCAAGTGTGCCTTGGAATGCCTAGCGCATATTTCATGATTTTGACTGCGGAATTTGGGTTTTTAGATGGATTAAAACATGGATTAAAGTGCTGGTAAGAAACAGCATTTTTCGTGGCTGATACTAGAAAAACTTAGGGAGCCAGCCGGGCTCCTCGAGCACTTTTTCAGGGAGCCCGCAGGGGTTTCAGGGAGCCAATGGCCACCGGGCTCCCGATAAAGTCGAGCCCTGTGATTAAGTCATGACATTTCTTTTTTCTCTGTCATGACATGATTTAAATATTTGTCCTACAATTGCTATTTTAATGTTTAAAGATGGAACAATTGATATCTTAGAAATAGTATTTGGGACTGAAACATGTTACATTATTGTGTATGGATATGCACTGTATTCTAATGATCCTTTCCTCTTGCTAATATTACAAACGTCTAGCACTTACGATGTCAAGGAGAAGCACATCCCAGCCCACATTGTAAGGAAGCATCAGAAGGCACTATCAGAATGCCTGGACAAGTATGAACGCATCACATCGCTCCAGGGACAGCTTGGAGATAGCGATGGAAGCGATGAAGACGGTGGAGGACTGGACATGAATGAGAGCTGCATGGCAGTCGACATCATGGCCCTTCATGAGGAGGTGGAGGTTCTCAAGATGAAACTGGAGAGGCTAGAGAACCCACTCTTGAGGTGAGTTGTAAGAAGAAAAGAGAATGGATTGATAACTGTTGGGCAGTCGTATAGGAAAGGCCCCATGCAGGAGCAATTCATCATCACCATCATTTATCTAAATCAGAATTTTCCCTCTTTATGAGGGGTTACGTTACTGACTTTCCTGCCGTAATGACACTCCCTCCTTCCACTTCATCTTGTCTTGGGCATCCTCCTCATTTAGACCAACCTTACTGCTTTTTTTCTTCACCATATATTTCCATGAAATGTTCATGGTCTTCCTTTCCCTCTTATACCTTCCATTTCCAGTTCCCACACTCTTCACAGGATCATCAACTTCCCTTCTCAACTCATGACCCATCTATCTCAATCCACTTTACTCTGTGTGAATTTCAATTGGAGCATTTAAGATAAATGTATTGGAAAGGCTGAGGAGAGATACATGATATATGATAAACTCAAACCGAGTGGCTTAACTTTTTAGCTTTTGGGTTCTTGATGCAAGATTTATTTGGCAGGACCTTTGGAAGACTCATTCAAGTTGAACTTGAGCAGTCAACTTCCGTACATAGCTCATGAGACACAATAGGGAACAACAAGAAAAGATTCAAATCAGTTATATTTGAGGGTGATTCACTTGGGATTTATTTGAAAAAGCCCAGTTTAAGTACCCCACATTCAGAATCATTTTGATTTTAATAACCTATGGTATAAATCCTGATTTAAGTCTCCACCATGCATGGACTAAAATAACTGATACATATAAGCATATTATTGCCCCCCCCCCCCACCCCCCCCCCCCCCCCCCCCCCATTGGACTTGAGGACACATACAAAGTTGCATATACTTGTTGATGTTTAAACAATTGGTTAAGATTAAGATGCATGTTTTTAATGATTTCGGGCCACTGGATCTTTAGAAGCTGTTGTTGGCTTTTATGTTGCCTCGATGTTCTACGAGGAGTTAAACATGTAACAGAAACAGGTTTGAAATAAAAATGACAGATTTGAAAATCAATAGCAGGTTAAAATTCATTCTCAAAAAATATTAGGGATAAAATTTGTTTGGAAACACTTCAAAATATGGCTTATAGTGCACCAGAAAGCATCTACCGTAATCACCTATAATCTACAAGCTGAGCTTTTTAATAGGTTCCTCACATTTCACCCTGTCTAATCTTCTATTCAATACAATAAATTTTGATGTCTTTTCAAAGAATTAATTATATAATGTGACACTTTTAGTATATTTCATATTATGTTCTAATTTTGTCAATTATGTGAATTCTTTTTAAAATGTGAAACAAATGAACTTGAACTTGAATCATCTAGAGCCCTTAAGCAAGTCATGAACTCCAGCCTCAGGATACTTCAGGATACTTCACACTTTGCACACATCAATTTATACTCCTTATAAATGGCAATTTAACATATTTTAATGTTTGTTTTTGGACCACCCTGTAGGTCCTTGATGGATATCCCAAGTGGAATATTATCAGAGAGGAGGTCTATAGGAAGCCAGAGTAGAGATGACAGCTCACTCAAGACGTTTCTAGTCTCTCAAACATTGACCGCCGGTATGATACAGGTAGGGATAGTCATTATATGGACAATTGGGTTGCGTTCAGATATGACGTGGCAAAACCACTGCCTTTATTTTATGATGACGTGAAGTGTAATGAGAATCACATTTCTGTATCTTATTACACAGAGCTCGGTGAAAACGTTCCGGACCTTTGTTTCGCACGATTGCCATTCATTTACACGTAATAAGACAGTGAGAGTTTTTTGCGGAGGTTTACCCGACATATCTTAACAAGCCTTTAGAAAGCAAATCTTTATATCTACAAAGTCTACAAATGCTTTGAAGCCTATGAATCCGTTTCTAAATTAATTTGCCCAGCCCTACTGACAAGCGAACAAATTTTTACTCCCATTAGTAGTGTTAGCTCTCATTAATTCCTCACTCTTATTTGATGGGAAATTAAATAAAAGGTTGAGTGCTGTCCAGGAAATCACATTTTGAAAGAAACTGTCCAGAGGCAATGAGAAGGTTGATTATATAGTACATAAGCATGGATGTATACACTGTACTGAGAGGTTTCAGAATAACAAAAATGATAACAAATTCAATTCAAACTCAATTGTGCTAAAAATCACAAGCACTGCACACAGAAATTTGGGACCCACTATGTCAAAAATTACAAACATAAATGAGAAAACTTGCAAATTGTTTTGCTTTGCTTGGAATTCAACCTTCTCTATAAATATTGAGAAACATATTTACTTTCATTTCTTGGGACATGTGGACATATGCTTATGCTTCCATTCCTCTCTCACTAGAATCTCAATCTAGGTCCTGATGTGGTCTTAGAGCACTGTAGATCACCAGGAGAAGCTCTGACAAAGTCTTGCAATGGTGATACCATCTTAATCTTTCCTGGCTCCTACACTGGTGAAAGATTCTACACCCTTCAACAGTCAGTCACTATCAAGGGTAAGTTGACAAAGTTCAGATATCCACCTTGTTCTCAAAGTGTAACAATTAATCACAAAAAAGTGCTTTGTGAAACGCCCCCCTGATATGTGTCCTCTTCAATCATTCTGTTACAGGGTACCTCTCCTCAATATAAAGACAGAATCACTGCAGTTTGGACTTAAAGGGAACCAAAACCTTCATACTAAGTTACTTTTATTGTAAAGTTTAAGATATTTGAATAAAATCAGTGAAAATTTGAACAAAATCGGGCAAGAAATAAGGAAGTTAAAGCTTTTTGAAATGACTAGTTACTAGAGGGCGATATTCAATTTGATGACATCATTTGTGGACAACTCTCCATGCCTTTTGTACATTAAATTTCATGTTTTTCCTTCTTTCTTTTGAGCTACTCCCCTGAAAGCAAGGTATAGAATGCAAAATGATATTCTACTTCACATGGTATGAAGTCGGATCAAGAACACAAATAAATACGAAGAAAACGAAAGAATTGTGAAAAGGCATGGAGAGTTGTCCACAAATGATGTCATCAAATTGAATATCACCCTCTCGTGACTAGTCATTTCATAAAGCTTTAACTTCCTTATTCCTTGCCCGATTTTGTTTAAATTTTCACTGAATTAATTCAAATATCTTAAAATTTACAATAAAAGTTACTTAGTATGTAGGTTTTAGTTCCCTTTAAGTCACTCAACAAGACTCTTGTTTATAAAGCATACTTCAAATAGTATTTGTATTATAACGTGCTTTAGATAATGCAACAAAGAGGCAAGCTATATTTAAACTGATTTTATGTTGCTTTCATTGTATTTTGGCTCGGTAGGAGTAGGAAAGAGAGGGGAGGTTGTCATCAGATGTGAGGAGTTGGCTGACATCTTCCTGGACTGTGACGTATCTGGTGCAATCATCTCCAACCTGACCTTAGAAGATGATAATAGCGCCACCGCTGAGGGCCTTGTTGCTGTGCGTGCAGGAGGTATTCTATCTATTTATTTAGGACCATTCATTTGGGTTCTTTAAGTCTGATGTTGATTGATCAATGAATATATGTATAGGCGGAGGTATATTAGAGACACTGTCTTATTCATATCATGTTTCACAGTTTACAGCTAACCAATTTTTTTAAATTCTTGTCCCATATAAAAACATAAAATTTTACCAAATGGGGAGATTTGAAGAACTTTCATTTTTTTCTTCTCAAAAGTTGATTATCCCGGGACCTTGTGGCTTTTGTAAAAATATCATATTTTCTGACAAGGCATTTTTTCACAGTTTGCAGCAAGAGGATTTTGTTTTCATTCTTGTTATTTTATATCTTTGGACAATGATAGGCAGCTTGGTGATGGATGGGTGCATGCTTAGGAGTGGAGGGACAGGGGTTAGCATCTTCAGGGGAGGCACTTTGGATATGACAGGCTGTGAGATCAAAGATATCCAGGTACTTCTGCATTGAACTTGCCTTTGTTGCACCTATTGCAATGCACCTGAAAGTAACCATCTTCATATATTTGCTTAATTTTATCAATCAGTTGTGACAAAACAAAGTGCTAATAACTCTTCTTGGAACTGTTGTAGGTAGCCACTATATTTGACTGTACTTGTTATCATTTTACAGAGGAATGGGGTAAGGTGCAAGGCAGGTTCATCCGTCCGCATCTCTGATACAGACATCTATCACTGTGGCTTAGACCAGGATGATGAGGTGGATGGCAAAGAGAATCAAGAAGATGATGACAATGCTGCTATTACTAAGGACACTCTGGTGGCAGGCATATCGGTTGAGGTGAATATTTATATAATATGGACTGGCCTTGAGGGAGATACCACATTATATTTCCCAAACTAGACTCATATTGCCCCGAGTCAAAGACAAGGGCAATATGGGTCTTGTGAGGGAAATATATGTGGTATCTCCCGAAAGTTAAGCCAGTCAATATTGTTATTATTATCCAAATCAGACATCTAGAGCAAATACATACATGACAATGTCATAGAACTGAAAAAACTTTGTCAAACCAGCACTGTGCATCCAGCTGCTTGACAAAATTTTTGATACACTGCAAAAAGTGTACCCAATTTGGTGAGATTATTACGTCACCATAGAGTGCGCGCAAAGTACACAGGTTCTCATACGCATAATAGATGCTCAATGAAAATGAATACAGCGCGGTGAATATGAGACTTTATTTCCTACTTTTTTAACATGTAAAGTCCATAGGCTTTTTCATGAAAGGTGAACATGGTCTCATATTCACTGATTAGCCCTTTTAGGATAACAAACAAGTGTATCGTAATATGATTTTGTAAAACCACTGCTCAGATGTCTGATACGGGTAATAATACAAAATGTCCCCATTTTCAGACAGAATTTTTGCTGTGACTCTCAACATTTAGAGATCAGCTATTTAGCTATTTCCACAGCAATGTCAAATTTAATGCATTAATGGTATTTCCTTCTCCTATCATCACACACAGATCCAGGAGAATGATGAGAAAGCCAATGAGACGATTCTCACCATCATCGATACCAAGGTCCATCACAACCAAGGTGCAGGAATGGCAATCCTTGTTGCCTCAAATCGAGAAGAGGAACCAGAACCTATTACAGCGGATATCATTGGGTTAATCTCTGGTATAGATGTTCTTGATATGAAAAATATTGAATTCAGTAGTAATGTACTTGGAGATGCTATGCTGGCTCGTTTTGTGGATAATTAGGAAACCCCTTTTCCATGGGGTAGGAGGGGAAGGGACGAGTGTCTGTGTTCTGCTTTCCTTATAAGATTTTGCCTCGTTTACTTTTTTTCTCCAAACTTAACCAGTCTATGCTTGTGTGTACTCAAATATGTATTGCTTATAAATCTGTTAAATGGTCAGATTAAAATTAATTTTTGTTCAGTTTATTAGATCAAATTAGCCGCAGGCCGTCATAACATTGTTTCACATCAACTGTACATTGGTATTATTGATGGATTGTATCATGGATATACTAGCGACACAAGATATGCTACTCCCCAACCCATGCCCCAAGGAAAAATTGTGTTATATTGAGGCCTGACAGATAAAAAGGCACACACACAAAAAAGGTGACTCGATCCTGCCCAAGAAGGTAAACACAGCGATAAGTTGAAGTCCGGTCCATGGAGCTGATTACCGTAGTAGATGGACATTCTGGCTGATTTTATGTTGAAGCCAGTGAATTTCTGAACAAAACAATACCCAACTTGCTTCATTCAGACATGTAATGAGTATCTCACTCTACTTTGCATTAGTTCATAATTAATTTAATAACCATATATCATATTTCATATACCTGGAAGATATGGTTAGTTTCAGGTGAAAAATTCAATTTTTTTTTTTCTTTAGATTAATGTATGTCTCGGCTGCATGCAACGGCGTGCATTTGATTTTTTTTTTGTGTGTTATGAACTTGGCAACAACAAAAAAATTCTTTAGAAAAAATTCTGTAGATCACAGAGTATGGTCATCACAAAACATTCATGACATAAAAGGTCGTCCAATTTTTTATAGGAATGCAGCACAGTCAGCCGGTAGCTCAAGCGTTTTTGTATTGATCAGCACTAATTTATTTATGACCACAACGGGCACATAGATGCCAATTTCTACTTTGAAGGAATTACCGTTTTAGGGGCTTTCAAATTAGTCCTATGAACCCTAGATTCGACATTTCTTTTGTGAAATGCTTATGGATTGAAGTCCTCAATGCCAGAGTTTCAAATATTTATCTTTTCCTCTTTTATCTTACTTTTTTTAGGAAAAAGATATTGTTTTGATTTTCATTTGAATCTTATTGTGGCTTAAATTGTTTAAGTGTTTGCATTACCGGTAATAATGTTTTGATAGATATATTTTTCCAGTATTTTCCGAAAGAAAGTGGTATTATTATTATTATTTTTTTTTTTTTTTAACCAACAGCAAGTAAGTACAGTCCATTACATAAAGTGATATGCATATGAATAAGAGGAAATATTCCTTAGTAAAAAGTAAAGTTCAGAAAACGAAACAAAATAGATTTACCATTATGATTAATATTTTTAAAAAATAAGAATATTTAGCAATTTCTTACAAGATACAAACTAGTGTATACAGATGATTTGCATGGAATTTTCATTTATGATTTATTGTATTGTTGATTTGTAATCTGTATGTATGTTTGTACCTAATCAAGACTTTCAGAAAGACATGAAATAAGCCAAAGAAGTATTCTTTGTTTATAGCCAACTGAAATATACTTTCTATGTGTAAAATACTTGATTACCGTAGAAAGAACTGACTTTGCCTTTGGTTTGTTCATATAAAAATATTATGCACTTAGTATATGTATATTTTGTTTGAAAATAATAGTATGTATATAAGAGGAAAAGCAATGAAATCATGGACTCATTATAGATGATATTTACTCATGCAATATCATTTGATTATTATTATTTGTACTCTTTATTCGATCAACTATATTCTATGAAATACAATTTATGATGTCAATTGTGGGGGAAAATGAAGCAAAGTTTACCTCTGCCAAATGTTTTGATGATTATATGTATATATGTCTTCCTCTGTGGACCAGAAAAAAACAGTTTCATAAAGATTTGTTTGGTTTATACATGTTTTGTATAATTCTTATATGTAATAGAGCAGTTATAAGAGAAATATACATGTATTCATATGTATTCATATGTGTAGTTACATGGAATTATATGTACTCAGTATTAGATTATATTCAATCATATATGAAATGGTATATGACAATTATCATTTGTACTCTACATTCAACTCATCAAATGCTACAAAATATAAGTTATATAAATTGTGAAGAAAAAAATAAATCAAAGCTTTACCACTGCCAAATATAAAGAAAAAAAGCAAGTTTGAATTTGTTTTCATTAGACGTTTACTTTGTGAGATCCATTCCTGATTTTATCAATTTGATAGTACATCATGTTAGTAAAATACATGTTGATCAGTGTTCATTGTAATCTTGGAAACTGAAGTTTGTATAAAGATTTGCTGAAAAGGGAAAAGTTATACATTACACTGATAGGGTTTATGGTACACCATGTGCGTAGTGGTGACAAGGACAGTGGCTTGTATAGATGAGATAGAAAAGAGAGAAGAGGAAGATATTCATTCTTGTTTCATCCTGAGACGGTGTACAAACAAAAAACATGGTTAGAGAGAGTGGGAGAAGAAGGGATATTAGAGATTATCTGTAAGAAGAAGGTGTACATAGTCTTGAAAAGGACTTGTGTACTATATAGTGGCCGTTTCATCGGATGCATCCGTTGAAAATCAGGCCAGTTTGAAAGGGGTACGTATCAGAGGGCAGGGCTAGAAGATGTGGGGATCATTTTTAACGAGTCATTTATGTGCTTTTCATGATCTTCCCACTCCAGATATCTCAATATATATGTTTGTATTTTGAAGATTATATGATAGTTTTTATGTTGACGAGAAAATAAATAAATGAAAATGAAAAGAAACATTTACAGTAGGATATGGCTCGATGTTACGTCCTGCATGGGAATAGCCAAATATCGGGTGGAATGATGCAGGATTTTGCAAAAGATAAATGACACAATGTATACCTTAAATTGGGGGGGGGGGGGGGGGGGGGGGGGGATAAGAGGACACTCTTTTTTTTTTTTTTTTTTTGGCCTCGAAATTTGAAAAATTGACATTTTTCTTCGTTGGGGGGGGGCCGGGGGTTAGGTCACCTTTTTTAGGTCAGCCATGGGCATAATTTTTTTTTTTTAATTTAATTTTTTTAATAATTAAAACAAGAAAAAAAAAAAAAAAAGGGGGGTGTTAGGTTTTTTTTTTTAGGGGGGTTTACACATGTAAAAATATAAAAGGGGGGTTCAACCCCCCTCCCCCCCCCCCCCCCCCCCCCCCCACCCCTACAACAACTACCCACTTTCCACCGGTACTTTACGTTGACACTAGCGCACCATCAGTGAAGTGCAGTGGTACGTCTGCGCGTGCGCAATAGACGACCGTAGCAACAACAGCAAAATACAGGAAAGGCAGAAAAATGGTAAAAAATTACGATGTTATTGTTTGTTTCATCGTAAGATTCAAGAGAATTATCAATATCGTTTACTCGTGTTTTAATTGAAGTACTGGTCCATCTGTTATGTTGATAATATTAGTTGATGTGTGAAGAACAGTGATGGAATTTAATGTTGATGTCGTTGCAGTTGTGTTAAAAAATAATGGACTCTCGCGTTGTTCTAGCACGAGCGATCGCGCTGATGTGGCCCGGCGCGGCGGGGCTAGGAGCTAGGCAAGGCCGGTCGGCTGGACTTACTGCGAGTCGTTACACTGCACAGCTGCAGACATGTTAAACAGCAAAACACCCTTTATATTTAATTAATTGTAGATCTGTAATAAAACAAATTTGGTCGCTATTAATATAGTCTTACTCTTAGTCTTGAGATCAGTGAGGTGAAATTCTTCTTGTTTAATTTATCTTCTTCCTCTAACTAAGCTCTATTCTCCTTCTTCTCCTCCTTCTTCTCGGAGTTCTCCTTGGCTTGACCTCTTCTACTTCTTCTCCTACTTCTTCTTCTCCTTCTTCCCTTCTCCTTCTTCCCTTCTATTGAATCGAATTGCCCCAAGAAGAGCAACAGCAATATCGCTAGAGAATGATTTTTCGTTTGTCTCGCAGCGTATGATCTTGGATTTTGGATTCTTTTCCTCCTAAATACTCCGAAGAAGAGTTTTGACTGGAGGTGGTGGAGGGTGGACGATTACATTTTGGAAAAAAGTTCTTTAGTAACTGCATTTTTAAATGAGAGCGGGAGGTTTGGTCGATGGTTGCTTGTTGTAGGTTGTTCCATGTAGCCTTAATTTTAAGGGCTCCCTCAAAATGTTTTTTATGATATTATTCGAGGGAGCCTTAATTTGCTCCCATAGGGTCCCATGGAGAGGTAGGTAAACAACATCTAAAATGTGTCCAAAATCACACTTTCCCGCACCCGACCAACATTGGACAGTGGCTTTGATAAATTGTATGGGACTTGTGATCATAATTACACCCAGAATATCATAATCAGAGGTAAAAATAATAAAATAAAAGCAATTTTCTTACCAGACCGATACAGCTTAGCTCCCTTTTCACGTGTACCATGTGAATTCACGTTCTCTACACAATGGTGATGACCTCTGACTTGCACTTCGTAAATGTGCTGCTTCCGTATAATGTGCTGAATAAAAAACATTTTGAGGGAGCCCTTAAGGCTAGTTCCATGTCTGTACGGTCCTTGGGAAATAGGAGTTGGCATAGACGTCCGAGTTGATGTGGCGAATTTCAAATTGGTTCGAGTGTCCTCGTCTACGTCTGGCTTAGGGTCGGTGTGAGATTGGTAGTCGATGTCGAGTTGTCCCTTGATCATGGACGTCAACTAGACCCTCTAGTTAAAAAAAAAATCACAACAATTTCAACAATAATTTCAACAGAGACAACGGGATCAATATCCCTGAATTTTGGATGCGTACGATACGCTGCCCTGAAAATCCTCGTCCAGCCGGCCCGATTGATTGGTTGAGCACCCGTGTGCTTCGGCCAATAGGCCTTGTCCGTTATTGTTCTAATTATTGATCAAATTATTTGACTGCCGTCCACCCGTAGAGTATAAAAGACACTTGCTTACAGTATATTTTATCACCTGACGAAGTGTTGCAGCGGCGCACGAAACGTCATGATCTTTTGATCTCTAGTTGACCATACATTGCGAGACAAACGAATATCACTAGCGATATTATTTTTGATACTATATACGCAATGAGTAATACTAATAGTCTATATTTAGCAACTGTATTGTTTGTTTTATGGTTGAGAATCTTTTTTTTTATTTTTTAAAAACATGATTGTTATAGACTAATTTGTCTTCAATTCTTATTACAGGCAGAAGTTGAGGATGCAATCAAGAAGATTTCGGCACACAATGGTGTGTGTGGAATCATGATAATGAACAATGATGGTGAGTTTCTTTCTCTCTCTCTCCTTCTCTCTGCTTTCTTCATGACCATGTTCTATATTAATGATTTATTATTTGTTATTTGGTTCAATCATGTTTAATAATATTCTTTAAAAATTTGTTAACTTTTATGTAAGTGAAAGTAAGTTAGTTCTCTTAAAGGGATCCAGTTACTTTGTCTTAGATCCTTTAAAAAAAATGGTTTTCATAACACTACAGTCTATTGGAGAAAACGAGTATGGTACATGGTAAAACTGGTCACTCAAAGGTTTTTACTTCTTTGAGGCACTTTCTTGATCATTTTGAAGCGCAATTTTTTTAGGGCTTCATATAACACCATATCACAGACTCTCGGATTTAACCTCGTTAAACGATCCCTTTAAGAAATTAATTTTCTGGAGTAGACACTTCCTGGTGCTCACACAGTTAATTGTCTCTCTTAGCTGTACATGTGCGCAGCCAGCTTTGTCCTAATTTTCAGTATATTAATATGACGATTAACATAGTGTCACTAACAATAAATGGCAAGTCTGGCCCAAACTAAATATATGGAGAATAGTGAGGAGATGACATCACCAACTCGCTAGTTTGCATACAGCCTATATGATACCTACCTACGGCATCACTGTTTCGTGAAATTGTGTGAATCTTTAAAACCACATAACTTTCTTATTTTTTGTCCAATTTACTTACACCATTTTGTTTGTTTCACTTTTTCTATTTGCTCAATTCAACTTTCAAATAGATCAAACTTGCCCTTCTTTTAGTTGAATATAGGTGCATTCATAAAAAGAAAAAAAAGTGAGATTGGGACCACCCTCAAGCAACAATATTGAACTGTCATTCAAATGTCACAGAAAACTTCATGTAAAGCAGAGTTTGAACCACATGTTCAAACATGATATTTGCATTCACACAAGCTGAAAACTCTCACTTTTGTTCATCGATGTTTGGACCATGGTCCTAACATCACTTTTGGGCCTAGGTGTGAATGGAGCTAACAATAATTGTAAATCCATTAAAATTCAGGCAGAGGAAATTTCATTTCTCATGTTCCATGCTACCTGTCAATAGACCACCTGAATGAAAAGGAATATTAAGTGCTTTAGGGATTATTGTTGTTTATGAAGGATTCTGACCAATCCCTTCTTTCTTTACTCATATCCAGGAATTCCCATCAGGTCAACGATAGACAATGCAATCACAATTCAATATTGCGCCCTCTTGCTCGATCTGTTGGGCAAGGCTAGGCGTTGTGTCCGAGATGTTGACCCTCAGAATGACCTGTCATTCCTCAGACTCCGCACCAAGAAGCATGAAATAATGATCGCACCTGGTACGGTATTAGTATGGACTATTAAAGCTATAATCCATTTCATGAAGTTCACAAATTTATATTTTACACCAGAATAACCAACAATTGCATTCAGCTGTTACATGTATGAGATATTGTATTTTGATAATAGAAAAGCATTGCAGTATTACCTTGTATCAAATAATAATAATACATAACATTTATTAGGCGCTTAATACTGATGTTTCTAAGCGCACAGTGTTCTGATTAAGAGAAGACTATAACCCGTAGAATCACATTTAAGAAAAATTAAGAGGGAAATTATTGCAATGAATATACTTTTACTTGTACTTGAATATTTTTGGTTTCAATGTACATGTAGCAGATTGGTCTGCAAACAAAAATTCAAACATGTAAAATTGAAACTTGGAAGGAACTGATTTGTGCGAACTGTGAAGCGTTCAGTCGTTTGTTGTTGGGGTCCATGGCTCACTTAAGGGCTCTAGGGGAGTTTTATGCTTTCTGATGCAATCTAAGCCATATTTTGAAGCATTTTCATGCAAATTTTATGACTAATATTTTACAAATAGTTTAGGTTGAGGGGCGATTCCATGATTAGTTACGTTATTTTTTTAAGAGAAATTTTACACGATTGGCACCATTAAAAGAAAACTTTGCATGTTCTATTGCTCTTGTAAAACCAAGGGTACATGTAGTTCTCGTGTAGACCTTTAACTTGCATAAAAATAGAACAATTTAAGCATTGCTTGGAGCTTGAGTGGTGACTCAAATTTAAGAAATTAATGTTACAAAAAAGATACCGTAAATCTCCGTGTATAAGGCGCACCCCTATTTTGAAGACAAAAAAAAACAAAACACACACGGGGAAGGACTTTCATTTAACATCGAGGTACAGTTGAAGGCGACGATTTGTGCTTGTGAACTTGTCACAAGTAAAAGTAACATTGTCGTTTTTAGAAGAATGTGTAAGATCATTAATGTAAATGAAAAACAGTAGAGTACCTAGGATAAAACCTTGTGGTACGCCGAAAGCAAAATTGGAGGAATTATTATTATAAACTACATGTATGTAAAATAAAGGGTCATCTTTTATCAACATTGTATGCCTTGTAGTTATAAGCAAAGTTACTGGTAGATAAAATAATATTTCTTCATTTTTATTTTAGGCTTTATCCTTTGTTTTGGTATGAGATATAATAATAATAAAAATAATGATACTCAGTTTTTATATAGCGCTTATTACAATCACTAAGCACTTCCAAACTTGGAGATTATTACCTTGGTTTTAGCTGTGCTGTCATTACGGCTCTCTAGCTTTTCAAAGAATTAATTCCTGCCAGGTACCCATTTACATCACCCGGGTTGAGTGTGGCAAATTTTTTCTTCAATTTGAAAGCTTCTCAAAGTTAGGGCAATAGCCGTATTAGACCACAAAGGGTAGTATATTAGTATATTCAAGAGGTTAATCTTTGGTCTGTTCAAACAAAGACAATTTCACCATTGATGAATTGTTCCCACTATTGGCTTTAATAAATGTACATTATTTATATATTTAATGGGTATTTTCGTCTTTGAAAATAAAATGTTTTGGAAATTACTGTATTTGAATAACCTACCTCATTTGCTTTATTCAGTGAACAAATTATGTCTATTAATGATGTTTGGTCCTTATCATTTGATGTATCATTTGATGTATTCACTAAATTTATTCCCTTTATTTCTTTTCTCTCTATTTTTCTCATTACAGACAAAGAGTACATGTTGATTGTAATACAGAACCCATCAGAGGCATAGTCTACTAGAGAGTATACAGCTGCAATAGAGGGCATCAGTATAATGTGCTCATTTGTTCCTAAAAAAAATCAAATTGAACACAAATATTTAAGACTAATGTATCAGAAACATGACATCTATGAATGGGCATGGGACAGTCTACCAAAAGCTCACAAGTACAAAGTCCCAATAGCCCCTTTCAAGTTGTGGGCTGCAAAACCTGCCCAAGTGCTGAACAATTATTTTGGACTCTGAATAGCTCTCTTTTTATGAAGTGTATCCTCATGAAAGATACTTCATACCCAATATAATAATAACGTACCAGTAATGCAAGATAAAGTCAAATTTAAATCTTGAAACTTCAGTTATGAAAATTTGTTAAAGGCAGAATATTATACTGACATCACTGCAACTGCTATAATGTATTTTCTATTGTGCCATCTTTTGGTGAAGGCATACATAGAGCAATTTCCATTTCCTGTACCCAAGCATCACATGCTAATCAGTTGGTGATACATTGTGAACAGCAGTACCGATATACATACTTGAAGTAGTGTCTGTAGAAGATCTTGCCTTTAAAGTTTAAACCCGTGATGGCACTAGGAGGTTTAGATGGAGTACAAGACCAAACTTTCAGTCTGGTGAACCATCTTGACAACTAATCTGAAGGTTCACTGGCTGAATGTTTGGTCTGGTGATTTGAGTATCTTGAGTCATCTAACTTCTAGTTATCACAAGATTCCTAATGAGAACCACAAGCTCCCAAGTGTTCTGTCTTGTGAACTAGTTGTTTTTATTTTTGTCCTTTAAGGACCTTCAAGTTTTTGCGAACCTTTGTTCAACTGGTAAGTCTATTGTAGCTGAAATTGTTCTGCATGTCAATTTTTGCTTGATGAGGCATTTACAATGTCTCATAAATTTCTTTTAAATATAGTGTGAACTAAAAGGAATTATTATTGTATTTACTTGTAAATATTTAATGTACAAATACAGTATTGTAGAATAGCTTGTTAATTTCTTTCCCTTTTTGAGTTTATGGTCATTCCTTGGGAACATTTCAGCAACCTTTTTTAGTGTAACTCATTGCAAATTCTTAAGCAATGTGATTGTGAAGCAGTTTTTGAAGTGGATGAAGCTTAGATTTTTACCATCCAGGCTTGAATCTTCTACATCTATATTAAATCGTGAACAGGGTCGGTTTTTGAGCCACACTCTGGCACCCTTCAAACTCTTGTGACTGCCTAAGCGTTGTACCGTGATCTGAAAAGCGAATTTAAGATTTTGGCCTCTCTAAGCAATTATATGTAAAAATACATGTTGAAATATGTTATGACACCTTTTGTAAAGAAAATAAATTGATTACCAATGATCTATAGTTTTGTTAAAAATCTGTAAACAAAACTAAAAAATAAATTTGTCTCTCCTTGTAACTCTCCAATGATGAGACTTGAGTTCTTTCTCGCAACAATGCTATTGATGAAGCTTTCTGTTTTTACTGCAACACTATGCTTGACAAAGGAGTCACTTCTCATTTTGAAGCATATTTGTTTGTTATGTCACTCCTCATTCAACGATTATTTTCTACTTTGTCATTTTGTGTCATGATATGCCATAATTTACATATTCTTGTATTCTAACCATTTCTATGATTAATCAAGTTTACATTATTCATAAATTAATGAGCTTTGTACATTGTTATTTAAGACAGAACAGACAAATAAATGAGTAAATGAATGATGAATTGGAACAAAATTCAGAATAATTTTTGTGTTTGTAGTTGTATACAATATGCATTCCAAAAGTAAGATAAGGTGAAATTACATTTGATTTCATATAGGTGCTATGCAAAGAGGACAATCTTAAACTGTTCCTCTGACACACACACATGGCACACTCACTCACTCACACATACACAAGAGAGAAAGAAAGAGAGATGGGGTGGAGTGATAGAGAGAGAGAGAATGAGAGGGAAGTAATAAAGGAAAGAGGTGAGGTATGAAAATGAGATGTACTGTACATGGAATTGAAAATTGCCAGGGGAGGTGGGGCATCTTTTCTTCTTTTTCGTCATATTTTCTTCTATCTTCAAGATGAAGGGAAATTGTCACAACCTCTCTCTCTCCCCCCCCCCCCCCCCCCTCTTCTCCCCTATTCCTCCTTCCCTCCCTCCCAAGCTCTCTCCCTCTGTATCCCTTCCTCTCCCTCTCTCTCTCTCTCCCTCCTTCTTACTCTCTCTCTCTTCCTCCTTCCTTCCCCTCTCTCTCTCTCTCTCTCTCTCTCTCTCTCTCCCTCCTTCTCTCTCTCTCTCTCTCTTCCTCCTTCCGTCCCCCTCTCTCTCTCTCTCTTCCCCATACTATCCGACCAAAGATGGACCTTGCTCCTTTTCCTTTTTTCTTCTTCCCCCACCCTACTTTGGGGGTATATCAAAACATCAAAATATTGTCGAGCTTTGCATGACTTTTTCTTATGTATTTATGTTTTCATTGAAAGCCAAACACAGAAACATAAAACCCAATGATAACAAATATATTTAAATATATAATAATAATGGTTAAAGTACAGTTACATGTAAAATCATGAACAGGGTCTCTCCACATTTCTATCTACATTGTTGTTAAAGTCATCAAGAGGATAAACAATTAGATCTCCAAATTAAAAGACCATTAAAAAAAAAGTGTAACTTGGCATTCTTTTGTGCAATTATATACTCGATATTCTGTTTTACCTTCTATAAAGGTTAAGAAGTTTTGATCGGATATTTGGAATTTGCATCAAATCACATAAACATTTAAAGCACAAAAATTTAAAAAAACTGATACATGTGTCATGGCAACTGCCTGTGTCAAGTCCAAATACAAAAAATAAAGTCTGAATAAACAATGGATTGCCTTATACATTTGTGTATGGTATCAGTAAGGATGTTCCAAAGGGGTTTCAAATTCTCACAGACAAATATAGTGTTGTAAGTTTGCAAAGTGGCTAGTCAGTTTTCTCTCTTTTGAACAAATTTGACAATTTGTTCACTTTGACACATGCTCCTCTTCCCTTTGGAAAGTGCCCCCTTTTCCTTATTTCACCGTAAAATGTGCTCCTAATTTGAAAGCGACTTTTTCTTTAATTTCACCCAAAGGCAGCTGGCTATGTTCGCTCGCATTTGAAGTTTATATGTATAATTATGTTTCTTAATTCTTACAGGCCTTATCAGTCTTTCATGATTAGATTGTGCTTAAAACCCCATCAGGATTGTTTTCGTGTGTTTTTTCCTCTTCATAAGATGTAATGTTTCGCACTGCGACCTTAAAATGAATATTCAGCTCATCATCATATACCCAACTGTAAATAGCTAGGAAGGCTTTATAACATATGTCTTGGACCAGTGTGTAGAGAGAAATAGATATTGAAATCATCCTCATTGATAATTAACCACAATGTAGGGGTATAGCCAATGTCTAAAAATTGTATATTTTTGCTTTGATGTCTCCTTTTGAAAGTGTTCCTTTTTCCAGAAAGTTCCCTTTTTTGTTGGTGCCCCCAACTTCAACTTCCTGAGGTTACAAACCAATTCAAATTAATTCCATTCATATTTAACTTCCTGAGGTTACAACTTCCAATTCAAATTAATTCCATGAGTCATATTTACTTCGATCATTTATAGATAATATATCAAACTCCAGGACCAAATTTTCAAAGGATTTTACCATGGAGTTATTTTACCAAGTACGAGTTCCCTCTGTTTATACCCTTTCGTACTACAACGGGAAGTAAAAGTAGGGTTTATGCCTTGAATGTGACATTCATATTCTACCCGATGTAATCTTACAAGCGACAGAGCCCATTCCCTAAGTATTATTACATCATGATCCGACTGACCATCCGGCCTGCATCAGTATCATACTAGCCAGCAAGGTGGTCCCCTAGCTAGCTTACTTCCTGGCCTGGCCTGGCATACCTTATCTTAATCCCGGTGTGTCATCAGCCAACTTAATTTATTTGGTAGCCAACTTAATTTATTTGGTCGCCTACCAACCTGTAGTCTGGCTTACTTGTCAATATACTACGCATGTCTAGATTTAAACAAATTTTGTGTATTTTTTAATCACCCGACAATAATCTTTTTCAAAGCACACGGCCGGGGCCCTAGCTGTTCTCCATAAAAAGCTTGAGATTTGTCTCACCTCCCTGATAAAATCAAGTGATCATCATGAAGCATGTGTAAATTATTGTTTCAATAAAAGATAAAAGAAGTGCTTCAACCAAATCAATCAAGTTATTGGGCCTCAGCATCAAGACATGGGTCTGATATTTTGAGCCCCCCCCCCCCCCCTTAATAAAGTTGAAGCAATCACTTTATTTTGGCTTATATACGCATGCGCATTAGTTGACCTTAGCAACATCGCTGACGAATCCCGATATCCGAACTCTGCAAACATGGTAATGAAACCTTCGATTTAACTATTTTTCATTATATTTACAAGACCTTTAGTTTAAACTGTATTTATAACTATATATTGGTGCATCAGACTATTTCAGTTGTCTAAATAATTGTGAGAAAATCTTCGGATTAACTAGATCTAGTGCGTGTGTGTTTGCTTGGTTTGTGGTTGGTAACTTTGGACTGAGTGTATACGGTACATACAGATTACATACACAGTATAGTGGCTGTGCAGTGCCAGTGCACTGGTACTGGTACTGTCGTGTGAGCTGAATGGTGTCTGTGTCCCATTGATTTTTGGTAAAATGTGTGAATGAATTAGTGAGAAGATAGCCATGCTCTTTGTTTTTCAAAGGCTAAAAGGCCTCTTTGATATTGTGTTTGGGATATTTTATTTTTGTTTTTCTTGCCTCTTGGTTCTGACTATAAATTCTGAAGTTGAAATGTGGAGAAAACAATCATTGCAAGGCAATGGCAACTGCAATGGCAAACAAATGTCAATAAAAATTAAAGTTTAACTGTCTAACGAGACTTGCTTTTAATTTAAAAGGTAAAATTTCATTTGTAGTCATTTCCAATGCTGGTGACCATTGTGAGAGGTTCGTCATCAAAATTGTCAGTTAAATAATTAAGGTCTTCAAGTGGTTCGTGAAATTTATATCTTGCTTTGATTCCTATTTGACTCTAGAGTCTAGGCCTAGTTCAGTTGTTGTTTTCTTATTTTTCACAATCTATACATGTAGTCTATCTGCAGGCCTTAAATTAATCGACGGCCATCGACGGCCAGGCCGTCGATGCCCCTATGACTGGCCGCGGTGCCCTCCCAAAAAAAGATATATTCACGGCCAAAAAGGCCGTGCCCTTTTTTTCAAACTGGCCGACGTGCCTTTTTTTCCAACTGGACGAGCCCTTTTTATTTTAAATTTGCGCACATAATACCACCAATTGCGCCCATAATCATCTAAAACTAGACGGCAAGGCGCAAGTGTTTTCCGTGAAAATGCGCCCATAAATTATTAGAACAGTAAAAATACACGAATCACGAACAGTTTGCCGCCCACGAGCTCTCTTCTAGCTTCGTATTTAGTGCGCCCTTTGTTATTATATAGGCAATGCGCTAGCGCACGTACGTACGTACGTTCATATTATGCGATCGCATGATATGCATATGGTGCATGCTGTTGACGCACGCACGTACGTACAAATCGAAGGCCAGGATCAAGAAAACAAATCGTCAAATGGAGAAATAAACAAGCATTCAAATAGTCTTTAGAGATCTGTCGAGGTTTGTTTGTAGGCCTAGTTTATTATTTTATCTCAAATAGAATTTAGAATTATCTTATTAATAAGTTAAGAACACCTACGATGTTCTCGATCGTAGTTACTCTCATTTTGCCACCAGCCGACCTCGCTTCAAAAAGCTACCCCGCCAGCTTCCCAAGACGAACGTTTCGAGTCCCGGTAAAATTCCGAGGGTGCATCGGTTTCGCTGGCAAACTTCCAGCCCGACAGCTTACCACCAAAAGTGGCGAGAGTGTGTGTGCGAGGAACGATTTTGGTTTCGTGAATGCACTGTTACGCAACTGAGCTGAGCGTGTCACTTTCAGCTGTCGAATGTCTATAAGGACATTTTTACATCTTATTTCATTAGTTAGGCCTATGTAGACCTTTCTATACAACAGTTAAAAAGATAATTTCTTCAAATTTGCTCCTAGTCCTACTACCGAGAGAGTGGCGGAAGGTTTGTGTGTGAGGTGCGATTTTGATTTGGAATACCCGGCCCGGTAAACTTGCCAATTAAGTCCTTCTGACTTTCGATGTTTGTGAAATTGACAATTTATTTATTCATTTGCTCATCAATATTTTTAGTTACTTTAAAATGCTGTTTAATGTGCAAGTTTGATGTTCTTAATCAATCTTTCCTGTTCATATTGTTAAGATTAAAAAGTTATTAAATTGATCGTTCGATCTATTCACATTATGAAATTAACATTTGTAGACTCTCTTTGAACTTATGATTAGATAAGCGGCCTATCTGTTTTTGGAAAATTGCCCCTTGCTCTGGTAAATTCCCGTGGCAAAGGGCAACTTAAAAAAAAAATTGCCCCTTGCTCCTGGCTGCTAAATCTAAGGCTTGCGGGCCGCCGCCTTGTTTGCAGGCGCGTAGCCAGAGTTTGGTGTTTGGGGGGCACATACATGTAATCGATCGAGGTAAAAAAAAAGGGGTCTACAAAATTTCAACCGATCCTGGAAATTTTAGGGGGGCACGTGCCCCCCGTGCCCCCCCCCCCCCCGTGGCTACGCGCCTGCTTGTTTGTATGTACCGTAGACCTCTATACATTCTGTGAAGAAGCTGGTGCTAAAAGTCATGGGAAATTGATCCTGCACAAGTTTCATAAAATACACATGACATCTAACAAAAATAGAATCAATTTTTTTGGCCTCATACTCGATGCCCTTTTTGTAAAATATTTTGGCCTCGATGCCCTTTTTGTAAAAATATTTTGGCCTTGGTGCCCTTAAAAATATGAGGTACTCGAGGCCAAACTGGCCTTGCCCTAAAAATGACGAAATTTAAGGCCTGTATCTGTATTAAAATTTTTATGCAAAGTGCAAATTTAAGACTTGCTTTGGTTAGTTGACGGTTCATTATACCTAAATGCTAAAAAAGGATGTGTATGCTACTAATCCTTGTAAGAAAGCAACCAGAGAATGAGGATTAATGTCTTACCAAAGGGCACAAAAGAATCCACTTGGTTCCAAACCCTGGTCCTCCCTTGTACCTCATCACTGCTGAACTACTAAGCAATTTCACCTCCTCTAACAAGTCTAGGATAACAGAAAAATCACTTTGGATTACCAGGAAATAAAACTTTAAAAGAATTGCTCAAAACACCCATTTTATTTTAGCAATATATTGTCAAAGGACATACAACTTTTTTGCAAAGGTTTTACCCCGGATAACCTATCAAAATAAATATAAAATTACCAACAAAATCTCTGAAAAATAAAAGTAGTGTCAGTGTGCATGGCATTACATAATGTGCAAGAGATAGAAAGAATGGAACATCCCTTCGAGTACTCCATACATGGCCATAAACAAGTTGAGTTTGAGAAGTCTCCATAGTGATCTGAAGTTTTCAACGAATGGCGATTTCTTGTTATTGGTTCTATTTATCTCAGATTTTCACCAACAAATATGCTTCAGATGGTCAAACTTTATCAGTGACTAGTTAATGGTTGAATCTTCTTAGAATCAAATGTTATGCTTTTATTGAAGTTTACATTTAACTGTGTACCTGCATGCACATTAGTTGAATTCTTCACTCTAGTATGCAAGCCATTAGCTTTTTATGCCTCCGCCACCGAAGGTGGTGCCGGAGGCATCATGTTTTCGGGTTGTCCGTCCGTACGTCCGTCCCGTTTGACCGTTATCCCAATATCTCAAGAACCATTTAAGATTTAAACTTAAGACTCGGGAATAGTATTTATCATTATAGGAAGACGATCTGATTAGATTTTGGAGTACGTAGGTCAAAGGTCACAGGTCACAGAGGTCAACTTATGAAATTCCTTGTATTGAGTTTGTTAGCGCGATATCTCAAGAACCATTTGAGATTTAAACTTCAAACTTAAGGATAGTATGTATCACCATAGGAAGACGATCTGATTAGATTTTGGAGCATGTATGTCAAAGGTCAAGGGTCAAAGAGGTCAACTTATGAAATTCCATACATTGAGATTGTTATCATGATATCTCAAGAACCACTGGAGATTTAAACTTCAAACTTAGTGATAGTGTGAATCACTATAGGAAAACAATCTGATTACATTTTGGAGCACGTAGGTCAAAGGTCAAGGGTCATAGAGGTCAACTTATGAAATTCTATACATTGAGATTGTTATCATGATATCTCAAGAACCACTGGAGATGTAAAAACTTCAAACTTAAGGATAGTATGTATCACCATAGGAAGACGATCTGAGTAGATTTTGGAGCACGTAGGTCAAAGGTCAAGGGTCACAGAGGTCAACTTATGAAATTCCATACATTGAGATTGTTATCATAATATCTCAAGAACCACTGGAGATTTAAACTTCAAACTTAATGATAGTGTGTATCACCATAGGAAGACAATCTGATTAGATTTTGGAGCATGTAGGTCAAAGGTCAAGGGTCACAGAGGTCAACTTATGACATTCCATACATTGAGATCGTTATCGCGATATCTCAAGAACCACTGGAGAATTTTCACTTCAAACTTAATGATAGTATGTATCACGGTCACTATCACCATATCATAATATCTCAAGAACCACTGGAGATTTAAACTTCAAACTTAATGATAGTGTGTATCACCATAGGAAGACAATCTGATTAGATTTTGGAGCACGTAGGTCAAAGGTCAAGGGTCACAGAGGTCAACTTATGAAATTCCATACATTGAGATTGTTATCATGATATCTCAAGAACCACTGGAGATTTAAACTCCAAACTTGTTTAAATTGCTCTATGGCGGAGGCATCATTTTCGACTGCGCGCAGTCAAAATTCCATCTAGTTTTTATTTTTTTTTTTGTACCGTAATTATTTTTTTGATGAAAGAAATCTTTTTCATTTGTTTTCAAACTCTTTATTTTGATTACAGACTGACGTTGAGGATATACTGAAGAGGATTTCTGCCCACAAGGGTGTGGTTGGAACCATTATTATGGACTGTGATGGTGAGTTAATTCTCCTTCTCCCCCCCCCCCCTCCCTCCCCCTTTCTCTCTCTCTTTCTCTCTCTCTCTCTCTCTCTCTCTCTCTCGTGCATGACAGAGTTTGGAGACTTCAGAGGTCAAAGAGTACATGCAACTTTTAAATCAAATATCCAGAATTAAAGGTAATACAAAGTTTTGGTATGGGGCCATGAATTTGGTTCAAATGAGCATATTGGAAGCATTTGCGACCCTACAATATGCAGTGATCGTTGTTGCGGTTGAAATCGAGTCTAAAGTTATGAAATTGTAAATAATAAACTCTCTATGTTGTATAGCTCCCTCTCGAGGTCAAGATATTAATTAAGCTATAAAACAATGTTTCTTGAATAAAATCGACCGATTAGCTATTCCTGTTTGGAAATTATATATCGCAACTACACATTCTGAGATTTTCATGGTCGCAGCTACCATTCTACGGCCGTAGGCGCTATTTTAAATTTATCAAAATTTACCGGGAGCACCGGTAAATTTTTATTTTCAATTTTTCTCGAAAGCAGAAGTGTTTTAGGGGCTAAATTTTCTAGTGCTGATACTACATCCACAGGGGCATCCAAATATATCAAAAATGTAAAGAATCCATATCCACCCAATTTTCAAAATGTCCCAAAACTTTGTATTACCTTTAAGATCTGGTCTTGTTTGATGTTGAAATGTGACTGTATATCAAAAGAGGAAAATGTACACCATGTATGCAGAGACAACATTATTTAGCATTATGTCAAGACTCTTGTTGGTATTGTGCATGAATTTATTTTCTTTATTGGTGTCATAGAGGGATACACATTCATTCAAGTATGAATAGAAAATGGGGGGGGGGGGGGTGAAATAACTTGTGTTGATTAAAGATTTTAAAATATTAAACTTTTAAATTGATATTTTACTTAGTCATTGGTTTTAATTAATTACAAAGGCTTTACCAAAAAAATCCCATAATACATTGCATATATTTGCATCATTTACTTTTAATGAGCCTGTTAACTCTGTAAAATGAAATTGGTGAATGCATTTTTGGCTCCAAACTAACAAAATTGGTTAATACTTGATGAGAATGGAGTGCAGTGTAACCTACAGTGTAAAGATGTAACCATGTGCATTACTTGATATCCTCCAGCAATCCCAGTCAGGACAACACTAGACAATTCAACCACAGTCCAGTATTGCCAACTCTACATGCCGCTCATTCGCAAGGCAAGGGGCTGTGTCCGGGATATTGACCCTCAGAATGACCTTGCCTTCCTCCGTCTTCGCACCAAGAAGCATGAGATCATGATCGCACCAGGTTAGTGTTTTAGACTGTTCAGACTCAAAGAAATTTATGTTGAATTTGTATGAAGTATACAAAAGACAGGTAAAGAAATATTGTATAAAAGGATCTTCGTACATGTATTGCGAAAAGGGCATACACATTGGATTAAAATATTGTATACACAAAGTTACAAACTAGTTTGAAGAGGTTGGTTAATAACCTATCCAATCATCAGTGTGCATTCACAGTAAGCTCTGTTCAGTTATTTGGCTTTTGTTCATAATGATGCCCCAATATGCATTTTGCCTTATGATGTTTCATTATACAACATTTAGACTATAGAAAAATGACTTTTCGTATAGCTTTACAGTTTCATTTTGTAGCCATACAATGAATTATGTGTGGGGGGGGGGGGGATCTTTCAATAACAATTCAATACAAAGCAAAATTGAAACGTGATTTTGCAAGAAAGTTAGCTATTAATGGGTACCAATGCTCTGCAGTTAATGCTGGGGTTCAAACCACACCTGGTACTGTAAAACAAGTTTGGGCTGTAGTCAACTTTTGAATAACTTGAACGGTAAATCAAAATTAGTCATATACATGTATATGCATAGTCTGCATCTCCCCACCCCTTCAAAATATTTTTGAAATATGGGTCTCTTCCAAAAACATTTCTAGCTAGATTGATCTTCTTAGGGATATACACCCATTGAACAAAATTGCCATATTATTCATAAGGTATCATCTTTCAGTGAAATCTTTCACTTTTTGTCAACATCTCTCTCTCTCTCTCTCTATCCATGACATGCATTGATATTTTCTACCTAGCCCCCCCCCCCCCCCCCCCCACCCTCCCTACTAGAAAAGGTACCCTCAATGTTGAACTAAATTTTATTACCCCTTTTCTACTTTCTTTTTCTTGATTATTTATTTACAGAAAAAGATTACCTGTTCATCGTGATTCAGAACCCATCAGAAGCATAATCTACCTGACAAACTACAGCTGAAATAAAAACCATGTAGCATGATAATTTATTCCCCAGCTCAGTCTTGTGGACAGTCCAACAAGTAGTCAGAAGGTTCTAAGACTGAAGATTGTGCTCTTTTCAACCTTTAATCATATGAACCTTTATGCAAGTTGTCTAAAGGTCCATGACATCAAAAACCTGACTTGAGATTAGTTGTTGGAAGGGTTAACAAGACTTAATCCTTTGGTTGTGGTCCATGGCATCTAAGCCTGTCTTGAGAATCTTCATATTAATTGGTGGATGGTCCACAAGACTGAAGCCTTTGGTCTTGGAGATCCTCAGGGTTTGTGAAACTTCCTACAAGTATACTTGTCAGTCTTTGCTTTAACTTATTAATTCCTTCATTATTTCAGCTGGGATACCTAGATCCTAGAGCATTCCATTCCAAACATGACAACTTTGAATGCAGGTCAACAATTATCAAATTTCAGAAATAAACTTGGCTGTTTTTAAATGTACCACTTTTTCTATATGAAATCCACAATGTGTTATAATATCAATTCAAATACATTGTAAATCAAAGAAATTGTTATGTATTTACGTGTAAATAGTGGGGATTGTAAATAATATACTGTAGAATAGTATTGTAAATTCTATTCCTTATAAATGTAGAAAATGGTCATTCACTAAAAATGTTCAATGATATACTGAAACAAATTGTTTTTTAAAGTGTTTTTATATTTTTCATGAAGTTGATATGTAAACCCGAAAAAAAGGCATATAACATTGAATTCCAAACACAGCATAATACATAAATTGTTATAAACAACTATTCAACAACAAAAAATGAGCAAAAATTAAAAGTAGAATTATTATTCTGTATTACAGTATTACTACGATGGTTGGTTTTGCCAGCATACTAGATTACAGGCTTGTAGAGATGTCTAACACTCTATGACAAAAGATTTGTGATAAACTCCTCATTACAATGATTATCAATATAATAACCTTATTGGATGAAAAGATGAAATCAAAAAAGGGAATAGAAATTTTGATTGTATTGCAGAACTCTAATATGTACAGGAAAAAAAAGTGTCCTCTCAAAGAAGAGTATATTGTATTCTCTTATGTGCCCAATATTGAAGCTTGATTTACAGTGATATACGCATGGCACAAAGCATATGAATCTTTCTTCCCATTCGATAATTCGATTTCACTCATTAAACCATGAAGGGTTTGTGGTTTATTGCATATTGTTTCCTCTGTAAATGACCATTTTTCTGTTTGTATACTTTTCTGTCCCTTTCTTTTTCTCAGAAATTAAATATTCATTAGAAATTAAATAGTTTTGTGCATTTTTTTTCTGTGAAGTTTTCCTTAAATCTCAATAACAAGCTTCTGAATACATAATGAACATTGATTTAAATCGGGTTTATTTGATACAAATCAGCAATTGTCGTGGTTATTACCTGTCTTTTCTTTAAATCCGGGATAAATCTGGTATAATGGCTTTTTGTAGAAGATGAAACTATTTCTGCAAACTGAACATTCAGATGTATAGTTTTTTTCCCGAAAGGGGAGGGATATGAATGGAGAGAAAGAGGAGGGTGATCAAGGTTTATGGACAAAGACAAGAGGGAGGGGAGGGAGATCGAGATCTAACGACTGAGCATGACGGGAGCAAGAGAGATGGGTTGTGGAGATGGAGGTCGAGGTCCCCAGATATTTCCAAGAGAAGGGGAGTTTGAGGTCCCCGGACATTGCAAGAGAGGGGGAGAGAGAGAAGAGGAGAGAGAAGAGGAGATTGAGGGCCATAACCGGATAGATGTATAAAGAAAGAGAGAGGAAAAAACGTGAGAGAGATCGCATGTGGGGCAGAAGGGAGGGGGAAATGGAAGAAAGGAAATAGAAAGAAGGGGAGATTGATGTCTACGGAGAGATCGGGAGAGAGGGAGGGGTTAATGGACAGCTGAGCAAGAAAGAAATAGGGAGAGAGAGAGAGAGAGAGAGAGAGAGAAACTGGGCAGGTAGAACGGGCATGTGGTCCAATGACAGAATGAGAGTTGGAGAGAGAGAGAAAGAGAGACTGAGCTCCCTGTCTGATTGAGGGAGACAAAAACATACTGATGCACCAAAATATATAGTTGTAAATACAGATTATGTCAGGCTTCGCATAAATACAATGACAAATACCAAAATGGTACAAATCGAAGGTTTGAACCACATCCCTCTCTTCATATCTCTCTCTCTCTCTCTCTCTCTCTCTCTCCCTCCCTCTTTCGAAGGTCAGCGAGGTTGATGTACGGTCAACTCACGCGCACGCGCAGTTGCGTCAAATTAAGGTCATCATCATCGTGCAGAGCTCGACAATATTTTGAATTTTGATGTTTGTATGGTGGCCCTGAAGGGACATCGCGAATAGACTAAATCGTGAAAAATATGCGATAAAATTCACGATATCGTCAATTTTATCGCATATTTTTCACGAAGAAATTCACGAAATTGACGATATCGTGAACTTTATCCGTTTATCGTGAACTTTTCACGATGAAATTGACGATATCGTGAATTTTATCGTGAAAAGTTCACGATATAAAGTTCACGATATCGTCAATTTTATCGTGTACTCTATCGTGTACTCTATCGTGTACTCTCCTGACGGGCGCTTCGTAAACAAAACCAGCCCTAGCTGGGGGAGACAGAGAGAAGGAAAAAAGGGAAAGGGAAAGAGAAGATAAAAGGAAAGAAAGAATAATAAGAAGAAAAGAGGGAAACGGGGGGGGGGGCGAAGGGCTCTTGCCTCCTCCTCACTCCCCCCCCCCCGCCAAAAAATAAATAAGGAGAGAGAGAAGGGAAAGGGAAAGGGAAAGAAAATATAAAAGGAAAGAAAGAAGAGGAAGAAGGAAAGAGGGAAACGGGGGAAGGGCGAAAGGCTCTTACCTCCCCCCCCCCCCCCCCGCCAAAAAAATAAATAAGAGAGAGAGAGAGAGAGAGAGAGAAGGGAAAGGGAAAGAAAGAAGAGGAATAAGAGGGAAACAGGGGAAGGGCGAAGGGCTCTTGCCTCCCCCCCGCCAAAATTAAATAAGAGAGAGAAGGGAAAGGGAAAGAAAATATAAAAGGAAAGAAAGAAGAGGAATAAGAAGGAAAGAGGGAAACGGGGGAAGGGCGAAGGGCTCTTGCCTCCTCCCTCCCCACCCCCGCCAAAAAAATAAATAAGAGATAGAGAGAGAAGGGAAAGGGAAAGGGAAAGAGAAGATAAAAGGAAAGAAAGAAGAGGAAGAAGAAGAAGAAAAGAGGGAAACGGGGGCGAAGGGCTCTTGCATCCCCCCGCCCAAAAAATAAATAAGAGAGAGAGAGAGAGAGAGAGAGAGAAGGGAAAGGGAAAGAGAATAAAAAAGGAAAGGAAGAAGAATAAGAAGAAAAGAGGGGCTCTTGCCTCCTCCCCCTCCCGCGCCAACAAATAAATAGGAGAGAGAGAGAGAGATAGAGAGAAGGGAAAGGGAAAGGGAAAGAAAATATAAAAGGAAAGAAAGAAGAAGAAGACGGAAAGAGGGAAACGGGGGAAGGGCGAAAGGCTCTTACCTCCCCCTCCCCCCTCCCGCCATAAAGGGAAAGAGAAGGGAGAGGGAAAGAAAATATAAAAGGAAAGAAAGAAGAGGAAAAAGAATAAGAAAAGAGGGAAACAGGGGCGAAGGGCTCTTGCCTCCTTTCTTTTATTTCTTTTCCTTTCTTTCCTATTCTCCCTCTTTTTCGTTTTTCTCTTTCTTTCTTCTCTTTCCCTTTCCTTCTCTCTCTCTCTCTCTTATTTATTTTTGGCGGGGGCGGGGTGACGAGGCAAAAGCCCTTTGCCCCCGTTTCCCTCTTTTCTTCTTCTTCCTCTTCTTTCTTTCCTTTTATCTTCTCTTTCCCTTTCCCTTTCCCTTCTATCTCTCTCTCTGATTTATTTTTTGGCGGGGAGGGGGGGGGGGGGGAGTGAGGAGGAGGCAAGAGCCCTTCGCCACCCCCCCGTTTCCCTCTTTTCTTCTTATTATTCTTTCTTTCCTTTTATCTTCTCTTTCCCTTTCCCTTTTTTCCTTCTCTCTGTCTCCCCCAGCTAGGGCTGGTTTTGTTTACGAAGCGCCCGTCAGGAGAGTACACGATAGAGTACACGATAGAGTACACGATAAAATTGACGATATCGTGAACTTTATATCGTGAACTTTTCACGATAAAATTCACGAAATCGTCAATTTCATCGTGAAAAGTTCACGATAAAGTTCACGATATCGTCAATTTCGTGAATTTCTTCGTGAAAAATATGCGATAAAATTGACGATATCGTGAATTTTATCGCATATTTTTCACGATTTAGTCTTTTCGCGATGTCCCTTCAGGGCCACCATAATATGGGGTAAGAAAAAAAGGGGAAAGAGTGAGGTCCTTCTCTGTTCAGTACGGGGAAGAGGGAGAGAGAGAGAGAGAGAGAGAGAGAGAGGGGAGAAAATTAATCGAGGTCAATAGAGCAATGGAGAGGAGGGTTATATGGGGAAGGGTTTGGGATTGAGAGATCGAGAGGGGAAAGGGAGAGGGAAACAGCAATCTTGTTAGAGATGAGTGACGTGAAGGAGAGGAGGGATGATTAGATAGATAGAAGAGGAAATCGAGGTTCGGAGTGAGCAGGAAAGAGGGAGAGAGAGGAAGAGGGATATGGTGATAAAGGTGAGGAAGGGTGATAATGAAGCGGATCGAGTCATCGGAACTTGATCTATAGTTTGGGTGATTCACCAGCTTTCGTTTACTAGTATTGTTGTCTGGGTGCAACGACAAATTTTGACGGGAGTTTAAAGGGTAGGTATACGTAGACGGATTTACATCGGATTTCGACGCCCCACCCCCTTGACAAAATCAGAAGGCACGTAGCCACGGGGGGGGGGGCACATGCCCCCCAAAAAAATTCCAAGATCGGATGAACTTTTTTTAGACTCCTCCCCAGGACGTCGATCAATTACAATTATGTATGTGCCCCCCCCCCCCCCCCAAACATCAAACTCTGGCTACGGCCCTGAAAATCAGAGCGCATTTGTTCTATATCCAAAGTCATGTGAAGGAGAATTCGATGAGTCAGGAAATATTGTACCAGAAGGCGATCGAGGCGCCAAATCTTTTAACATGTACTTAAACTTTAATTTCGAAATGTGTATTACCAAGGAGTTACCACCTCCTTGATATTACATGCTATAATATAGTTTGGTCGGGCTGGGGAATCCCGGCCGAGCTGTCGTGGCAGCTATAATATTTAAAGGAACTATCAACTCGATCAGTATATAAAAACAGTAACTGTTGGGTCTGTCCGATCGAGTTTCTCTGAAATTAATGTACAAGCTATACATTATCCCCTACATGAAAATGACCCTGTTAATTTGATCCAACCGATGAATGTGAACAATTTGATACTGGAGCTACTATGCATTTTACTATTATGTAAAAAAGTTTTTAAATTCAAAGAAACTTTCTTGTCAAGAAAACATAAACTTGAATGGTAACTTGTCTATAGATGTACATTACCTGTACGTTATCTCCTGTACTTGAAAATGACCCTGTACAATTTGATCCAAACGATTAATTGTGAACAATTTGATACTGGAGCTATATAAGCTATATGTATGTTACTATGTATTTAACACAAATTAGTCCAAAAGTTTTTTAATTCAAAGAAACTTTCTTGTGAAGGAACAAAACATCATCTTGAATGGTATAGCTTGTCTATAGATCTAAATCGAGATAAGGTTAAAGTTACAGCAACATTTATCATTCGCTTGAAACAATCATTTGGGCAAGAGGAATGCATGGAAAAAAGTGCCACGTTGAACAACAGTATTTATCAGACAAGGAAGAACGGATGTTGGAGCACCAGGGGAGGGAGGGATCTCGGGGAGTGAGCTGATATCGGTCCGCTGGTGTCTCGGTTAGCCACGTACACACATTTGGGGAATTGGAACCCACATAAACTTAGTATAGGACGTGACAGCTCATACTACACGTCATTCTACCTGCCAGTGCTGAGACGGAGCAGACATCACCAGAAGACCAAAGACTTGTTTCAATTTCTCAATTTGTTTGATATATTCTCCATTCGAGATGGACTTCAGTACTATTCTTGCTCTGTTAGTTGGCTTCTTATCTGCGTTTGTAAGGGTAAGTGGATTTTATCGTTTTCGTCTCATCCGAAAATATATTTAAAAGTTGCGAGAGTGAGATTGGTGAGCAGAACTGAGTATATGGAGATGGAGAAAGTGATCAAAGTTATCCAGTTGTGTATTTTATTCGAGTCCGATCGCCAATAAATGAAGGTCTTGTGATTGTGATAAGGACTCGTTATCTTTATATCTACATCTTACTTTATATGTCATTACATTATGTTGCCTACATCTTGATCTTAGTATTTAGAAACTGATGTATGAATAGTCAGGAGCATACTTTTATTTTTAGCTCCGCGCTGCATAGGGAGAGCATCTATATTCGAGATTATATTCGAGATAAATTTCGGAAAGTTGATTGAATGTCAGTTTTGGTTATCGCTATATCTGAAAGACTGAAACGAATCATTTGACTTCTATTTTTTAGAATCATGAATAGAGTACGATAATAGTGAGTTGAATCTCGTTTTTGTTGGCAAAATCTGCGACTCCAGAATTATTGGGTCATTGAGCATGTGTGGTTTGCTGGGATTATATTGCGGAGCAGCATCATTGCGGGTCAAATGCGATGCGCGCCACGTTGCGTGAGATTGGTATAGGCCCTAGATGAGATGGAATTCATCAGGTAAGCAACAGATGCGATACCGATAAGGTTTCACTTGTGCTGCAAGCCAAAGGTCATGAACTCAGCAATGCGCTTGCTAGTATGACTGGGTTAACCTTGATATTTATACCTTGGGTATATTGTATATGCAAGTTATTGCTTCTATGTTCTACAGTTTCTATTTTCTATAAAGTCAACTATAGTTAAGACTAGAACTGAAGTTAAAGGGATTGTTTAACAATGTTAAATCTGAGATACACGGCCCTACGTGTTATCAGTGTCTGTGATATGGTGTAATATTGAAGCTCTAAAAAAATCGCGCTTCAAAATAATCAAGAAGTGCCTCAAAAAAGTAAAAAATCTTTGAGTGACCGGTTTTACCATACTCGTTTTCCCCTATAGACTGTAGTGTTATGAAAACCGTCAGGCGAACGGTTTTCAAAATTTGTAATTCCAATCATAAATATCTTGATAATTAGACAGGCAATCGGCTTGTAAAAGTCATGGGGTTCCTGACTGACCTAAAGGTTTATAATTATCATTGCATCATGAGCTAAATCCAGAATTTTATTTCAGAATCTGAGACAAAGTTACCGGATCCCTTTAAAAGACGCATATTAGTGGCTTTTCATGGGAATTGATCACCATTTTGGTATTTACCCTATAACAGGTGTTGTCATTCACCAAGATTGGTGAGCTACTGAAAATTACTTTTATGACAAACAGGTTTTGTGTATTGCACTCTTCCCACGCCTACCACCTTATGGAACTCTCATAAAATATATCAACTATCAAGGGTCAGACAGAAATTATTAGGAAGATGATTTTTTTTTTTTTTTTTTTTTTTGTGTTGACTCGTGTTCTAAAACTTAGCCATTTCTTTTATGTATTTTGCTTTTAGGCAGACGACCCAGATGTTGTTGCCATGGTAACTCACAAAGTCTTCTTTGACATCAGCATTGGAGGAGAGCCAGCAGGCACAATCGAGCTTGGTCTCTTTGGAGATGTTGTCCCCAAGACAGTTGCAAATTTCCTGTTTTTCGCCGATCCTTTGAGCAAGGAAAACTATGTTGACTCCAAATTTCACAGGGTGATCAAGAACTTCATGATCCAAGGTTTGTAAATCTGTTTAATTATTAAGCCTATGCTAAGTTTAATGGTTCAGTCATTGTCTACTCTTAATCCTTAATCTGACCCTGACAGTTTGTCAGTGATTAGCCCAGTAGCAGGAAGCAGTTTAAATAGAGTACAATTTTATTCTTTGTTCAAAGCCAGACTTCCTCATGAATATTCATAGACAGGATGTGCAAGTTCATCCTCTATTTCCTTCTTACTGCAACCTGTTTTAGGCCAGTGTGGCAATATTTGATTAGTCTAGCATTTGCTGGTACAGGTGTACTACATTACAGCTCTATGTGAAGAGGAAAGGGATAGGGTTGTTATATTTTAGATTATAATTAGCAACTTCCACCAGTAACACAAATGTCTGTGCAGCATCCCATCATTGCCATCAATTCATTTCTGAAAGTGACCAGGCACACTAAAACCCCCTCAAAAGTTGCTTTGGGTGAATTTCAGTTAGAGCTTTAATAATCAAGTTGATATGATCAGGACGGTCAAATTTTAGTTTTTAGCATATCTTGAAATTGTATACTTTTGTCTATTCTTTGTTCGAAGCCAGACTTTCCATGAATATTTATAGACGGGATGTACAAGTTATCTAGGATTGTATTGGGTAGCATTTTGTAAACCTATGTTTGTCTAAAATTTAGTTTGTTGAAGTATTTTTTATTTCTGTATGACCCTGACAATTGGTCTCATTTTGATCTCCTTTAAGTTAAAAACAAAGTAAGGTATAGCATTGATACCTGATCATAAGAAGAATGGGATGTACTTAATTTGCAAATTAAGCACATCCCGTATTATCACCAGGTATCAATGCCATAGCTTACTTTGTTATAAAGTTAGGAGATCAAAATGGGACCAATTGCCAGAGTGGCAGAGTCCTAAAGAATAATCTGATAATCCCTTCATTGAGATTTTGCTTTTGACTTTTAATCCTTCTTTTGTCACCTCTTGCAATAACTTGCAAATAAGATGGTGTCAATAGACAACAATAGAGCTTTTTAACCCCTTTTCTCTCAAGGATTGGACATTCTTCTCCTTTTCAAGTGGTTAGAAACAGCCAATTATGACAAGTTATATTATTTCCTTTTAAAGCTAAGAATCTCCTGTTTTAGGATGATATATTCAGATTAAACTTACATTTACATACAGTGACTTTCTGGTCATTGTTTGTGGTGTCTGGTCACATTTATGATTCTAGGCAACATTACACCACTACCACCAATGTTATTCAGAATACATTCAAACAATTCTATGCAATATCCCACCGCTGCCACTAGATAAGTTAGAAATACCTGCAGGCGATTCATTTCATCCAGGTGCTTTCTGGGTTGTTAAACTGAATATTAAACCATTAGAATAATTTTGTATTCAAGTGATTTTCTTGTGATTTTCTTACGGCTCTCAGCAGAGAATATGATTCTGACTTGCCCTGCTGTAATTTAATCAACTAACATCTACTCTCTAAAAAAAATTGAGTGATCACAGACGTCACTTCTCTGGAGAGTGAAAAATGTAGTGAAAATAGAGTGAACATTCACTCTTTTCTTCTTAGAGAGCACTCTAAAATCAATCGATTTTCACTCCTAAACAAGTGATCACGGACGTCACTCCCAAGAAAGTGAAAATAGAGTGAAAATTCACTCTCTTTTTTTAAGAGAGTAAGTACATGTCTGATGATCACTGCAGCTGCATACAAGTTTGATTTCAAGCCATTGCACAGTTAAGGGACATATGGTTTAACTTCATCTCTCTCTCTCTCTCTCTCTCTCTCTCCCTCTCTCTTTCCTGGTACCAACAGGTGGTGACTTTGCTAGTGAGGATGGATCTGGAAGCAGGAGCATCTATGGCAAGGACCATTTCGATGATGAGAACTTCAATCTGGACCACTATGGAGCTGGCTGGCTGGCAATGGCTAATGCAGGTAAATAAACAATCAACTTCCTTGAACCATAGTCAAATGCAGGGGGCCAGTATGCCCCCTCTCCCCATTTCACTTGCACAGGATTTCAGTTTTTTTTTAAAAGGTGGGAACAAAGGTTTATTTAAGAAAAAAGCTGAGATATAAATAGTTAATTAAAGACAAGAAAATTTAAGAATTTTTTGTTAAATAAGGTTTAAATTTCTATTTTCCCATGTTGCCACCCATTATTCCTAAATCAATTTTACAGTCAGGTTACTTAGAAAATATGTAATGCCCTATATGGCTTAATTATTTCACTACAAAGTAAAAGCTGTATCTTACAAATAGCATTGAAATAGACAAGTATGACCAGTGACATGTCTAGTGTGGTCAATTTGGAAGAGAATTGCTTTATGAGCAATCAACTATCACATTCTAACACAAAATATTCTTAAGTTGCCTTGAAATTAATATGTAATAAAATGTAATAATGGCAGTCAATTTTATTTTTGATCTCTAATAGTGTTTTGAGCCGTCAGTGAATTAAGCCAATTATTAGTCAAACTTTCTTATTCATCCTTGATCTCTTTGATACCTCTTTGATATGAACAGGACCTAACACAAATGGATGCCAGTTCTACATCACCACAGTCAAGACCAAGTGGCTGAACGGTGCCCATGTTGTCTACGGTAAAGTCCTGGATGGCCTTGATGTTCTGGCCACCATTGAGAACTCTGCTACAGATGAGAACGACAAGCCTCTCACAGAGGTAGTCATCACCGCATCAAGAACCGAAGACCTACCACCCCAGGATGAGTTTATCGTGGAGAAATTAGGTATCACAATGCCAGTTGTGGGAAGTACTGGTGATTTCTAAAAAAAAAAAGGGTTTCAGTGTTCAGATCGGGCAGGACGGGTGGTATTATTGTAGGGTTTAGGGTAGGGACATTATTATGATAAATGGTACAAAGAAAGGGGATACAGTATTTGGTCATTACTAATTCATGATCATTGCAAATAGATATCAAGGTCATACTTTTTAAGCATTAATAAAGTAATACTTCAATATTTTTTTAAGATTCCAGAGGTAATTCACTACTTACCCTAATAATCAGTTTAGAAAGACTGTATTTCAGAGTTTTGTCTGTTCAACACTGTTGTTTTATGAAGAAAATTACTTTACTTGTATTTTGTGAAGTCTTTCTATATTTGAACTACTAGTGTAACAAACAGTTGTGTGTACATTCACAGAGTAGTCGTGTGTGTGTGTGTGTGCGTGTATGGGTGTGTGTGTGTTTCTCGGAAATAAATTAAATATGCAACAGGGTTCAGTAAAGGAGAATAGACAAGTTCGTAGGTAAGCACACGTACAAATGACACCAAATATCCAGATATTTTAATTATGGAGAAAAACACTTTGTTCATTTTAGAATAATCACTGCCAAAGTGATGGAGGTGCTTCATGAATGATAACTTTTGTTTTACCCTCATGAGAAGAAAACTTGCACATGTGAATCATTATGTTGTACTGTCTGTGAATACATGAATACTGATTACATAACTTTCATGAGCATGTTTCTAGTAATTGCCCATACACGATTGTATCTACAAACTGGCTTATATGATAGAGTTTTATCAAGTCATGTAGCATATATTGGTCTTTACATCATTGAAAATTCTAGTTGGTACACTACACACATTTGCTTGAATCTTGCCTTTTGAATAGATTGATGAAGTGTGTTTTATTTGTAATTAGGCATTCTTCTTGTCAAAATTCAAAGCTTTTTTTTTACTGTAATATGGATGAAACCAATGGTGCTATTTCATTGCTATGCAAAACAGGTATACAAAAATTACTTGCCAGTATTTATAAATCATTCAGTTTCAGTTTGTACTTTATTTGCAAGATATGTTGTCAAAAAAGTTGAAGCCAAATGTAAAACGTTATTGGATCACAATTATTTCAACTAAGAAATAATTTATGATTTTTTTTTCTTTATAGGCCTAAAGAAATATACATGATAATGTAAATTGTCTGGATTTTTCCTTAGAACTATTTTAAGCCAAAGTTAATCTTTTTTTTCTATGATCAGAAAGGCCAGTAAAACTTAATAGTACATAGTTCCTTACTTCGCCATCATTGACATTTTGTTATGGTTTTTTATACCTTATTAGTAGTGATCTCAAATATACAGGGAATTGATGATCACATGAATATGAATGTTTACAAGTGCCTGTGTAATACTGTAGTCGCTATACCAAGACCTACATCAGATCAGATAGTTGCTTTACCACAAATGGCCAAGGATTAGTCGGTTTGGAGTCGGTCTGGTGGTTTGACTGACGGATAAGAAAGAGTCAGGCTTTACTGCACATAGTCACATCCTTATATTTGATTAAAGTTAAATTACAGATTTCCTGTGCTGCTACTCTAATTAAAGATCTACTGTGACAGAGTCTCACATAGGGCTATCAGAATACATCCAACTTGACTGATAGACAGGGTAGAGTTGGGTCAAAGGTCATTGGATATTGTTATACTTTCAGAGGCAAACCATGCAAGTGTCTCTTCACTTTCACTCTAAAACTGAATTTAAAATGTGAATAAAGCATGAACAAGGATAAACAAAATCTATCTCGGTTAATTTTTTTCTTGGTCAACAGAAATTTTTTGCCACTACTTAACTTCAGGAGAGGCTTTCGATATTATCAGCATGGATACTCATGATCATTTGTTCAGACAAATGTGTTTGTACTTAACTTGTCAAGGGGTATTTTTGATGACGAAATTGCTGGCAAATGTTGATCCCGTCCAACTTTTTAAATGAGTAATGTTACACAAAAAGTCGAAATTGTGTATTCTTAACATATACATGTACCGGTATGTGTATTTTAGTCACTGTGTTATGTACATGATGTGTTCCTAGAGTATGTTAATAAATTGAAGTGTCTTTAATTTATCGAATGTATTTTTTTGAATGTATCTATGCATTTTTAATAAACACTCTGCTGTTAAAATACTTATTTTTGTCACTATGTATTGTCTTAGTATCTACTGTGTGGTGTTGTAGGATTTAACATTTTAAATTTAGTGCTCTCCACTGTATTTTGAAGTACAGCTCTGCATAACTCAAAATTGCACAGATCCAATCAGATTTTGACTTACAAAGAGTTCACTGTATATATCTATTTTTGTGATACCAAGTCAAAATTCTGTGCTTTGCATATTTATATGTTTGCAATTCCAGAGAAGTCACAGTAAAAGGAAGTCTAAATTTAAATTAAAGATAGATAACATCTATCCCCCACCCCCCTCTCTCTCTCTACCTCTACCTCTACCTCTACCTCTACCTCTGCCTCTACCTCTCACAGGGGCGGTAGCTTATTTCAAAGTGGGACACCAACAATGTGGGGCACTTTCATCTATTTTGTCTTTCTCACTCCCCCCCCCCCCCCCTCTCTCTCTCTCTCTCTCTCTCTCTCACTCTCACACAATCCAGATTAGTACATGAACAATGTGCATTCTTTTTTATATCACATATAATTCTTTCCACTCAATTTACTAAAAACTATGAAATAAACTATTTATTGCAATTGTCTTTCACCTGTTTAATCCTTCTGTCGCTCTCTCTCTCTCTCTCTCTCTCTCTCTCTCTCTCACTCTCTCTCTCTCTCTCTCTCTCTTCATGTCAATACTGCTTTCTCTAATCTAACCAATTCATCTTTGTATATTCCTATGTTTGCAATCACTACCGGTAGAGCGTCTTCCAAATGGGGGGGGGGGGTACCAATATAAAGGGCACTTGCTCGAAAAAGGGAAGCACCTACGAGGGGAAACCTAAAAGCTAAAATATACTATTTTTAGAAATAAGTTTATACCCCTACATTGTCATTACATTATCAGGGTGATTTAAATACTTGTTTCCCTCTCTATATGGTCCGAGATACTGCTTAAGCATCATACTTTGCAATTGGGTGCGGTTGTCTGAATAATCATTTACGAGTGAGCGAGCCAACAGGTCGCATTGCAAAAACTACATCTTATAAAGAGAACAAAATATAATAATCTGTAGGGTTTTAAGCACAATCTTATCCCTCGGAGAGGACCTAAAGCCGTCGCGTCGGTCCTCTGGTTGCTTACTATTAAAACAAGCATTTATTGCTTCCTTAGCAGTCAGGTAAATAAACACCACTTAACCACTATGAAAGACTGAAAAGACCTTTGATAAGTTATATAATTATATCAACTATGCAAGCGAGCTTTCCGAGAAATTAACTTAAAAAGTTTGCTCTCAATCGCTTTATATTAGGGGCACATGTCATGGAGAAGGCAAAAGGAGCACTTATCACATATTATTGGAGCGCCTTGAGCACCTTGCATAGTGGATAATTATATGCACTATATAGATGAGTCCAATACATTTATCCAAAAAAAAGAGAAGACATTTATGAGAAGGGGAAGGGGCTCTTATTTAAAAAACAGAAAATGGGCACTTATCATAAGGGCAAGGGGCTCGTATTAGAAAGGGAAATGGGCACATGTCATAATAAAAGGGACACTTGTCAGAGGTGAAAAGGGGCACTTATTAGTCACTTTAAAAAAAACTATATTTCTTACAATTTTATTTTACCTTTTTTCTCCTCCCCCCAAAATCTCTCTCTCTCTCTCTCTCTCTCTCTCTCTCTCTCTCTCTCTCTCCATAAGGACCTGAGTATCATCTGTTCCCCTATAAATTCCCCTTCCTTTTTATTCTCACTCTATCTGTAATCTTCTCTCCACCCCCCTCTCTCTCTCTCTCTCTCTCTCTCTCCCCCCCCCCCTCTCTCCCCCTCACTCTCTCTCTCTCTCTCTCTCTCTCTCTCTCTCTCTCTCTCTCTCTCTCTCTCTCTCTCTCTCTCTTTCTCTCTCTCTCTTCATGTCCATGTTTCTTTCCTTAACCATCTCGTTTTTATGGTGCCGAGTAAAAATTCTGTGCTTTTCCTATTCATATTTTTACAATTCCAGATTCCAGTGAAGTCACAGTGATACAAAACAAGTTTATTTTTCTTAAAGAGGTTCATCTGATTGGTAGTTATTCCATAAATTGAATTTTCATCGTTTCACTCACGAGGTTGTTTTACCTGTGAGACTTTCGCCTAGTCGCTGTATACAGGCATCATCAGACTGACGCGTTATCGCCACTAGATGGGGTAGTACGACTAAGGGCTTTGGTCCAAGAGGAAAAGGAGCAAAATCCTAACCAAAGATGACAACAAATTCAGCAGATGGATCGGGGGGGGGGGGGGGGGGGGGGTGGGGGGATCATATCCGGGAAAAACGCGATCATGTCATGAACCGCGACATGGGCCAGTTTAATCTATCATTACTGTATACATTCCCATTCTCTCTCTCTCCCTCAGGACCCGAGTATCATTCAATGATCTTTTTCCTTCCTTTTATTTCCCCTTCCTTTTTATTCTCACTCTATCTGTAATCCCCCTTCTCTCTCTCTCTCTCTCTCTCAAAGGCAGCGGATCGTTAACAGCTCTACACTGTAATTACCGGTTATACATTATGTAGTTGATCTTCAAGATTTTGTCTTTTACCTGCCATAACACGTATGGTAATTATGTCTCCGTCTTTTAATCAAACATAAATGACACTTTGCCCCTCCAGCCCCTCTCTCCTGGAGCACGACCTCTGCCTTATCTCTCTCCCTCCCTGTTCATTAGGTTTCAAAATCATATATTATATACCTTTCTCTCTCTCTCTCTCTCTCTCTCTCTTTCTCTCTCCATCGTTGTTTCTTTTTCTCTCAATCTCTTCAGTACTACTAGGTTTAGTACATCAAACTTCTCTTATGTCAAGCTTAAGATTACTTAGATTTTTTTTAAATAAAAAGAAATACAATCATTACTTAAGACAGTGTTTTATTTGTAAACATATGCAGTTGCACAAGCATTATGTCATTTGGATAAGTAGTTTATTTTTCCCCCTACTACAATGGTAGAGGAAAAAAATACTCCTTTGTCATTATATGCCATTAGCATAATATATATATTCAGATACATTTCTAAAGATATAAAGTTGATTCTATTGCAAAATTAAGTTTTGCACTACAATATGTTTAGTGCAACAGAAATACTGTATGAATGGAATAACGCCATGGAATTGAATGCATATGCAGGGGTACAAGGGTTTTCCTCTGATGCCAAACATTTCTCAATGTGGTAATCATATGGTCTTGCAATGCAAAATTGTGGGGGGGGGGGGGGATGGGACACTTCAGTAGCCACTTCAACCATTGTGGCCGAGGTGCAACTTACCCTTACACTCAAATCTTTCATTGGCAAAATACACAGCATTGCCAACTGAAAAAATGATGGTGGGTGGGTGGGTTGCAAAAAACTAAACAAATTATCTGAAGATAAAATTAATCAGCTCAGGCAATTGAAAAATTAAAAAATTAATAGACTGGTTTGTCTTAATAGATAGATGCCTACACAAGATTTCAATAAGTGTGAAAATATAATTATAGTTTAATTTAACTGTTTTTAAACATTTCTTTGCACATTTCTGATTCAACATAATGTGATGCAAGTAGTAATTTGTACATAGTACATAAGCAGGAAACAAATCATACAAAGACTGTTAATTCAAAATTGAAAATATATTTAGGATGAAGTATTCATATGCAACAAGACAGATAGATCTCTGCAACTTCTACAATCATACTAGCAAAATAATGATAATGGGACCCTACAGCATTCTTAGTTCATTGTATAATGTAAGTAAAGTAGTATACCCTGCCTGGAGCAAGTTTTTGATTCAATATAATGGGATCAATTCAAAGATTATTGCATTCATCATGGAAATAAATTTCTCTTCCACACTCAAAATTCCTGATAACTTATAGAGAAATGTGCACATCAATATTTCTTTTTCTATCCCTATAAAAGAGACTGAAATTCATCTTCTAGTTAGCCGAATAAATAATATTGATTCAAATCATTCCATTTTCTTTCTCTTTAAGGTTAGAGAACTTCAATTAAGGTTGGGTCGAAAAATCGGTTTTAATATCTCTCGTAAACATTGACATATAAATTGAGCTATTGTTAAAACACAGTAGGTCAGAACCTAGGCAATCCCATTGAGACTTCTGCTTTCCTGTCAAAAGCACCTATCTAGAAAACTCCCAATTAAAGATAAATATAACAGAAAAAAGAACCCTTCCCCAAGATGAAGCCTTGTTGGCATACGATGTGGTAAACTATGGATTTGTTTACATATAGATAAATAGCACATGGCGCTGACTCCGCTTAGAATTAAGTATCTGTGCTTAACAAAGGCCCCTGCATGTGCTCACATATCCATGCATTGAAGGATGAAAGGTGCACTATGCTTATGCCATTGTATTTTGCTGGGTGATTTTCATAAGGCGGTTTACAGCGTCATATGAGGATGAGGCTAAAGCAGCGTTACACTACAAGAATTCAGTGTAAACATATTTCCATATAATATATAAGCTAAAGATACAAGCAATTCAAAAGTCTATACTTTGCAATTATTGAGAACACAAAAATAGAACTTCAACTGCAGATAGAATGTAGATAATAAAGAGAATAGAAAGAGATAATAGTATGATTACGAGGCAACTATTTTAGATCTCACGATGGCGGCCAGTTCATCTCCAGGTGTTTGCGCTTGGTTTGCCCGCTCCTATCGGAGTGGGGAGGCCAAATGATGAGGAGGAGCGGGAGGTTGAGGGTGGCCCTATGGGTGCGGGGAAACCTGAAGGGGTGCTGGAAGCTGGTACTGGTACAGGTCTATTGATGGGTTCAATGAAGGGAACAGGTGTGATCTTGATGTAGGGAATCAACTGCTGCTTCTTGACCATCTGGAGAGCCAGAGAGTAGTTTCCTAAAAAAGGAGGAATAGAAAAAAAGTTTTTATTTTCAAAATGCTGGCTGTTGAAGAAGCAACATTTAATATGGACATAACGGATTGCGCAAAATCATAATATGTTGCATTTTCAACATACATAAGTGGCCTAATAACACATGGTAATAATAATGATATGTCTTGTTTACCCAGGGTAGCCTCATCAGTAATCATTCATACCGTTCTCCCTGAAGGCCTGCACTCATATCATTTCCCAGGGTTTAAACGAAACCGCAACCCAAGAAATAACTTTACTTATTCAGAGAGATATTCTTGCCCATTAATTTACAAGATTCCCCACCAAAGTGTATGGGATAGGCATAGAGCAAGAATAATATACAGTTTCTCAGCACGAAATGGGCATCGCCATTTTTTTGCACCAAACTGAAGATCTAATAGGGGCAAACTTCACCCACTCCTTTGGAATTTGTAAAGCCAAATGATTTAATCATTTTCTCGCTGTGTGAATTTCTATTCTTTATCATATTTCTGTTCTTGTTCGAACCACATTAGGACGTTAGGACTTGAAAGTTGGGATGAACCCAAGACAAGAACAGATAACGAGACTTACCTGTATGTAACTCCAGATAGATGGCTGTATAGAGAGCTTGCTTGGGAATGTCATGGACTGGTACCATGCTACAGCCCTGTTCAGCAGCAAAAATGAAACATATACACATATTAGGCTTTTCCATGGCAACCATCATGTCGTATTTCTTAAACCATTATTATCTTTAATAATAGAAGTATAAATTGCTACGCCAAGTTGAAATAGAATTTCCAAAATCTAAGATCAATCCATGAATCTATTTAGACTATTTTACAATACACGCATTCGTCCATCCATGCAGCGATTCACCAAACAATCTATCAAGAATCTATCCGTGCATTAGTTCATCTACGCATTCATCAATTCATTCACCAATCTCCATTCACATAATCATTATAATATCATCTACAACAAAACTAATTAAATTCATAAGGCTGTTTTTCCTAGGAATACATTACACTGAATAATTAGTAATTCTGCCATTCATCCATCCTTCCTTCTACCCATTCTTCTTTCCTTCCATCCTTCCTCCCAACCATCCCTCCATCAGTCTTCCTAACCATCAATCTTATCTGTTGCAGACACCTCCTTTAATACATCCATCCATCCATCCATCTTTTCACTCATCCTTCCTCTCATCTATTCATACTATCTATCCAGCCCTTCATCCATCATTTCATTTATCCCTTCATCCACCCAATCTTACCTGTTGCAGACATCTTCTTGCCTTGTCCCACTCACTCCTGAACACATGGGTAGTAGCCAGATTGAAGAACATGTGAGCTCTAGCAACCTGGATAGAAGCAGGGTAGTACTGATGGATCACCTTACGTGGTTCTGTACCCTCGTTAGGATCACTGGTGTTGTTGTTATTACCCCCTCCTCCTCCACCACCACCACCACTGCTACCACCATCGTGGTTGTTGCTCTTTTCATTACGGTCTCGGTCCTTGTTCTCACCTAAGATCAAAATGGAGAACATTAATTCAGGTTAGGTTTGATTTTTTATTTTCATTCATTCATTACATTTAAAGGTAATACAAAGTTTTGCTATGGGGTCATGAATTTGGTTCAAATGAACTTATTGGAGGCATGTGCAATCCTACAATATTCAGTGATCGTTGTCGCGGTTGAAATCGAGTCTTAAAGTTATGAAATTGTAAATAATTACACTTTTTGTTGTATAGCTCCCTCTCAAGGTCAAGATATTAATTAAGCTTTAAAACAATGTTTCGCGACTAAAATCGACTGATCGGCTATTCCCGTTTGGAAATTATATATCACAACTACATATTCTGAGATTTTCATGGTCGCAGCTACCATTGTACGGCCGTAGGCGCTATTCGAAATTTATCAAAATTTACCAAGAGCACCGGTAAATTTTTATATTCAATTTTTCTCAAAAGCAGAAGTGTTTGAGGGGCTAAATTTTCTAGTTATTATAAAACATCCACATCCAAATATATAAAAGTTGTAGAGAATCACTATCCACCCACTTTTTAAACTTTACCCAAAACTTTGTATTACCTTTATTCTTATAACGTAAAACCAAAAACGCCCTTATCACACTACATATAACATTAGTTATAAGATATCATACAAGCCATGTAATTAACCACACATATCACAAGGAATACGCTGTACAATATAGGGAGCAATGCAAGTAGAGTGCTTGAAATAAAATTTCATCGAGCTTGCAAAACTATATAATGTAATTTGGCATGCTGTAGTTACGAGTACCGGTAGAGAAGAGAGAAGGGTTAAAGGGGAAATTGGAAGGAAACAAAGATTCAAAAGTACTTTTGCTTAAAAAAGTATGATTAGGTTAGACTCTTCTTTGATTCACTGGAGGAGGGGGGGGGGGGGGGGAGGGGTCTGTTGAAAGTTAGAAGAGCATTGACTCTACATAAGGTTATATGAGGTAATGCCCTTTTCGCTCTCATTAAATGATATGTTCTCCCTAGTGACCATGTATGGTTAGGATGAATTCAATCATTGCTTAACCCTTTGATAGCTAGCATTCTTACCAAAGTCTGGAGTGGGTGTGATGATGACAGACACATCGCATACAGTCTCAGGGTTGAGGAGCTGGATAGCCTCTCCTATCTGGTCATGCTTCAGCAGAGCTTCTGCAGCATACATTCGAGCCAGGAACCTAGCAAGAAATGCACATTTTCATTAGAAGTGGTATTTGCATAGTCAGTATAACGGTAGAATAGTTCTGCAACATTCTCCAGAAGCTAACCATTCATATATATCACTCACTCTTTGAAATGTTAGCTTTTATGTTATACTCGTCATTACTGCAAGCTTGTCATTGATTTTCATTTTTGAAAAAGAAATTGCAAATGTAATGAAAATCAATATACAGTGCGTCCCAGAAAAAACAAAGCCTAAAATAATCAATATTTTATCATAAATTTATCACAATTATTATTAAAATTAATTCTCGGTTTTTTTTTTCTTCTGGGACACACTGTATAGAGCTCTGCTGCAGAGATCTCCAAAATGCATTACAAATATCAACAAGAGAACCACTCAAGAGCTGTAGGAACATTCTCTATGTAGAGAAGTCTTAAATGTATTAAAGGCACTACTTGACAATTTCAAATAAAAATCAGGGTGGTAGAACTGTGGATAAATCTATCATAATTTGAATATAAATGGACAAAGAGAAAGAAAAATCTGTTCACATAGGACTGTAAATATTGTAGCAACTGGATACTCTTGAGTTTCCGTTCATACATGACTTACTGTAATGATCCTGACAGCTTGGGTTGACCCAGCAATGACCTGGCATGCTCTAGTGCTGTGACATCATCACCTAGAGAGAGACTCACATAGGCGGTGGCAGCCATCACTGAGCAGCGCAGGTTAGACACCTCTGTGGGCTTGAGAGGGGGGCCGGGCGGAGCAGGAATGGTAGGAGGACCGCTCAGCTTACTGAAGAAAAAAAAATAATGGCATAAAAATTAGTTTACCATTTTAACTCGGTACAATATAAAGGAACACCACATATACAGTGGCAATTCTGAAATCACGGTGGCATTTCTGAACTTGTAGAATAGAATTAAGGCTAATCTTGAGCTCTGGTATGGGAATTGTATTTTGAGGGATAATTGCTATGATATATTCTGGACTGTTTATCCTGCAGTAGATTGGTTGTTTGCACCAGTGAAATAAAAGCAAACGCACAAAAACTTACTGGGCATCATCTTGGATAAACAACCATAACTCCCAATTGCTCATAATGACCCGTGTAAGCACATGGTGTCGAGCATACTACCCAGATTTCCTTATCTTTCTATGCTCATTACTCAGTCACTATACTCTTTTTCTGCCAAAATTATTTGGCACATGTTGTTTATTTGTAATCTTGAACATTCAGTGTAAGTTTCGTTGGATTCTGTGAGAATTTGTTTTCTATCTTTACCAGAACTCAAGCTTATCTTTAACTTGTAAGATATATGATTTATAATCATGTATTATTATTAACGGTGCTCTACCCAAAAGGTCAACCGTCTGCCTACAGCAAGGAATACTTGAATATTCAAATTCAAATAAAAATTAAGAGTGATTTTGGAGTAATGTAATACCATCAAAATCTAAATTTTGCAATAAGACATAGCTTAATCACCTACACAAGACTCAGTATATGTTGCATGTTAAGCTCTCACAGATAGCTATAAAGACAAACATAACTGCATAAAGAATAATGAAAAAGTTTACAAGCATATCAATGCAAATATGACAGGTGTTACGACTTATGACATACTTTATAATTAGGATACATTGATTTAAGGCCAACCATTCAGTTCTTATGGGAGGTTGAACTTTTAAGTAATTACTGAAATCATCATCATAATTTTCCTCATGCTATGGGTTTCGGCGTTTCCAATATCAAAATATTAGTCCAAGGTCTAGTGAGTTCTGATCAAATTGTGACTACCTTGCTGCGTCGGATGCCTCACTACCGACACTGTTCTGGGATGAGATGGGCGTGGTAGGTACACTACCAGGTTTCTCTGGTAGAAGAGAGAGAGCGTTACTCAGGCATAGTGAGGCAAACTCTAGGGAGGCTACAGGCATGGCTGCTGGCTGGATATCAGTCCTGGAAGGGTGAGATGGCAAATGATGAAAAGAAATGCTAAAGTCATTCATTGATCAATAATATGCATGTAGGTAAAAAAAAAAAAAAGGGCACATTTTTCATGCAAAAGTAAAATTAGCCTCTGGTATAGTGGTTACATCCACTATGTGCGGTGCACAAGGTACTCCAACATCACCTTAGGTTTAGCTTGGCTACAGTATTCAAGGAATTCCTCCTCATCTGGTACTCAACTTCTACACTTGGGTGGAGAGAGGCAAACATAGATTAATGTACTGCCAAAGGACAAAGTAATGGTCTTCAGAAGGTCTTTTCTTCTCTCAACTATGAAAGCACATCATACCCACTTACCCATAGTTGGTATCCAGCCCTCCGGGGGATAGGATAAACTTGCGATGCGATCCTGTTCCTATGGTGCTATGGACGATGCTCTGCTTGCTGCCACCTTTACTCTCTCCTTCACTCTGTTCAGATACAAACAACATCATTCACGATGACATGAGAAGCTTAATGGATACCCTGAAAAACCCAATTTTCTTAGACAGGGTCCTCCTCAAATCACATACAAACAACATCATTCACGATGACATGAGAAGCTCAATGGATACCCTGAAAAACCCAATTTTCTTAGACAGGGTCCTCCTCAAATCACATAATTTCAATCTACCATATACATTGAATACTTCAACATTTGGGCTGTTAATTGCCTGAATATTTGTTCTATTTGACAGCTAAATATATATTATATCTCTTATATCAAATTTACACTTTTACCACGCTCATTCCATAACTACTTGAGAGCGATAGTTAAAGGCATCGTTTAACAATGTCAAATCTGAAATGCACGGCCCTACGTGTTATCAGTGTCTGTGATATGGTGTAATATTGAAGCCCTAAAAAAGTTGCGCTTCAAAATATCAAGAAGTGCCTCAAACAAGTAACAACCTTTGAGTGACCGGTTTTACCATACTCATTTTCCCCAATAGACTGTAGTGTTATAAAAACCATTAGGAAAACGAAAAATGATTTCCAATCATAAATATATTGATGATCAGACGGGCGATCGGCTTGTAAAAGTCATGGGATTCTTGAATGACCTAAAGGTTTATAATAATGCAGCATGAGGTAAATCCAGGAGTTTGTTTCAGAATCTGAGGCAATGTTACTGAGTCACTTTAAGAGTCTATTATTAGTAAATACTCAATGAAGGACTGCATTCGTACCAATGTCTTGTTGGCGGCGATGCAGCACTCGGCTAGTCTCAACCAGAGTCTGGGGTTGGTAGGAAAGACCTGCACTGCTTCCACTAGACAGTCAAAGGCTGCCAGAGGGCGCCCTGCATGCAGTAGAACGATCCCAGTGTTATAGAGAAGCTCATGATGGTGGTTCATACCCAGAGTCTGGATTGCTCGACCTGAAAGATGATGAGGCAATAGCAAAATAGAAATGTTATATTCAAACTCAATGCTCAAATGACAAAAAGTTTAAATCATACTGCAAACCTACAAAAGTAGGCTAGCAGTTATGACATTGAAACAAGTGTTATATCATCTCCAGCAGCCCAGTAATGCAGTCTTACTGTATATGTCCATATTGGATGATTTATGAGCTGCAACTGAATTTGTCTTTGTATCAAGCAAGATATGAAGAACAGCTTTACAAGACATTAATAAATTTGTTAAGATTCTGAATCAGTAGACTTTCACTGCGAGCTCTGATTGGCCAATTAAATGGTTCGCTGCCTCTATATAAAATAAACTCATTTCATTCAAAATAAACAAAATTATATGATTATCACTAAATAATGTAGCTTTTCAGTCACAACTTTGCTAACGAGAACCGTACCCCATAAACACCACTTCCCAAGTTGCTTACGACACATCAAATTAAAAGGAAAGGATAAGTTCATCCTCACCAAACTTAGCTCCAAGACAGCCATAACAATCAAACATTGCTGACAGGTACCCCTTCTTTCTCTCACCCCCAACCCCTTCAATTTCTACTTTACCTCTCAATCAACAAAGAAAAGAAAAGGGGGGAAAGAAAAAAAAAAGGGGGGAGAAAAAAAGAGGGAAAAAAAAGGGGGAGGGGGGAGGGGAAGGGAAAAGGAGAGGAGTTGAGAGGAGGAGGAAAAAGGAAAAGAAAGAAAAGGATAGGTGGACCCTTACCAGACTTCTTTGGCAGCTCCTTGACAGCCGTGGCATTCTCCTGCAGAGCCCTCCTGGCATAGTGTGCTCCCAAGTGGTACTTGTGCATGGCATAGTGGATAGACACCAGGTTATTATAGTACATGACAGGGATGCATTGGCCCATCTGATTATAGTCCAGGCCCTCAGGAGAGCTGTTCAGAAGCTTGATGGCCTTGCGGTTGTTCTGCCTCTCAAACTCAAAGTTGGCCTTCAGGAAGAGCGTGATGGGCGACTGCTGCTTGACAGAAATGAAGGACATCAAGGATAATACAAAATGCTTACATCATGGACATTTATCACTTGTGCTTTTGTTGTAAAATGATATATAATGTAGATTATTCAGGCGAACAACATGTTATCAGTCTTAACCAGGGATGCCAACCTTTCAGAGCACAAATCAGTAATCATAAGGCTAAAAATCCGTAATTTGGAGACAAAATCCGTAATTTTCTGCGCGACGCAAATTTTTCTGCACGTTGGCAAGCGCAACTCCCGCAGGCAAGCGCGATAGCACAACAAGTTAAATAAAAGTAACATACCTGTTCATTAGTTGGTGTTACACGATGCATTTCCATTTCTTACTGTATTCTTCTTTAAAAGTCTGTAACTTCTTGCCACGCTTCTTAGTTGTGGAAGACATGATGATTGATATCTAAATCCAACCAACATGAGTTCAGATTGTCGACGAAAATCGACGAACGCTGTGACAGCCTGTGAGAAATCCGACAGTGTACACGGCGCTAGCGTAGCGAGGCCTGGCGCTGGCCGCGCGGTAGCGGCGCGGCCAAGAGAGGTATTTCACCCGGCCCCCGCTCGCGAAGCACATGTATGCACCTGCACTGTGAAAGGGGTGTGCTAGATAACAAATTGTCCAATCGGAAGCCCTATGGGATTTCTATGCATGGATTCAAGGATGGCTGCGCTGCAATAGTCAAAAGTACGTGCTAAACCTTAAAGTGCTAATTTTGAAAATCGGCAAAATCTGCAAAATCCGGGATTTATGGTATAAAAATCGTACCGCCCGTAATCGGCCGATTTCCCGTAGAAATTACGGGAAATCCGTACTAGTTGGCATCTCTGCTTAACTAATACCTGACAAAGGGAAATGGTAAAAAGAGTAATATTTGACTAAACAGTACCTTGGAATGGTCTGGAATGTATATTTCTTAAATTATATAAAAATAACAAGCCCTAAAGCTATACCCATGACTATAAATAAATTTATATCTACAATCTTTATCACATGCAAGTCAAATGATTTGAAAGGATCTTCTTTTCAATTACATCGACAGTAGAACCATAAATACATTTTATGACAGGTACTGTATATGCCTCCAACATGTTGGAGAGAATACACTAAACTGGTTTATATAGGATTAAGTTTGATACATGTACCAAACTTGAAAATAGAATTAGTTTGTGATGACTTACCGCTCCATTGGAATTCATGACAGTCTTGACAGACTTGATCTCCCTCTTACAGAACTTGAGATGTTTCAGTTGAAGGTAGCACTTGGTTTTGAACTGGAAAGACAAAGGGAGTATGATAAAGAAACAGATGATTGAAAGATACTTTTCAAAATTAAGGGGGTAAAAGTAAATCAAAATTTCAAACAGATTAAAAATATTTCTTTAAGGGAAGTGGAAAATCAAGGAAATATAAAAACCTATACACAATCATTAGACCTTTCTGCTCCATCTTCACTTAATATCATTGATGCAGCTACTATGGGTATACCGCTTAAGTGGTTTAGCTCACACAATCGCTTAGCTAACTGCAGCTTCCAAAGTACATGCATATCAAGATTTGTTTTTACTGATAAATATATTTGGTTTTGTCTGTGTGATGATGCATGCCATCTTTGTGGCCCTATACATGAACAAATATGTGTGTGTGTGAGTCAAAATAATACTATTGATAGGACGTCCTGATTTGTCGTATAAATTTGTTCATATACCAATACCGAAAAAATAACTACCCCTTCCCCTCCCTGTTGGGGGTGCTGTCCCTAGACCCTACACAGCCCCTAGACCCCACCCCCCTGCAATTTCTGGTTGCTGGCTTTTCCATTTAATTTTACCTGCTATTAGTTTACATAACAAGAACCCTGATAATCACTCTTTGCATGTAGGTTACTATATACATTAAACATTGGACAATTAATTACCTCAATTCAATTCAATTTCGGTTTTATTACAAATATACCAAATAAAAAGTCCAAAGACTAACAATAATTGGCTTACAATGTATCATATAAAAATGCATTAAAAACAGTAGATTTAAAAATTCAGTAATAAGTTAAAGTACATTGCTCGCATTGTATCATATAAAAATGCATTAAAAACAGTTGAATTAAAAATTCAGTAATAACTTAAAGTATGAAGAAAAAAGAAAGATTGTAAGTTATAAAATGATGATAATCAGTTTGTCAGTGAATTGAGAAGAGAGAAGAAAAAAAGAGTTCAATTCATGACAAAAAAAGGAAGCAAATGAACGAGAATTGAGTTGATTCAGCTTAATGAAGCATTGTAAAAGTAAGTACCTGATGAATTTTGGCCTTCACTTTCTCTGTATCCACAGGTCTGTGCTCATCATCCTTGCTGTCTTTCCCCTAAAATGTACAAATAAGACAGAAGGTTATATACTTGCATTTGAAGAGAAACTGACAAAAACCCATTCTAAATTATGTTTAATACAAAGAGTAAGAAAATATAAAAGTAATCAACTTTAAAAAATGATTTTTAAAGAGATAAACAGATAATGAACCTCACTTCCACAATCATCATCACAATCATCCTCATCCTCCTCATAATCATCATAACCAATCATGATGGCTCAGTGATAGACAGTTGTATTGCTACTGGGGGATGGTGTTAGAACCCAACACTATGTGCTAGTGGGCCCAGTGCCCTTTGGGAAGGCATATGTTTACTGGTTGCTTATTCAAAAGCATACATGTACACTCGTTTTCTTAGTATTCAGGTAAAATGAACATATATGTTACCAATACCATCATTGTCACCAACATCATCACAACTACTGTCATGATGATCATCACCACCATCAACTATACTCATCACCACCACCATCACCAACGTCAGAAACAGTATCATCACAATCATCACCCCTACTACCATCACCATCACCATCACCACCATCACCATTATACGAACATCATCATTGGATAGAAATTCTGACCTTGTCTGCAGCCTCCTTTTTGGCTTCACTGGTCTGCATGAGCTTCTCCAGGTAGACTAGGGTAGCTAGAGCCTTGTCAGGCTGATGAGTGATCAGGTAACTCTCAATCAAGAGAAGCAAGATACGCACAGCTACCCACTCTTCTGTTCAAAGTACAATCAAAAGCACAGAGGATAAAATATAGACAATATAGATAGTGACAGAACAGAAAAGGCGATAGAAATAACAACATGATCTCAGACAAAAGAGAAAAAGAGAAAGATAGACATAAGTAATGGGGATCATGGGAAGGGAAAAGAAAGAATTAGACAGGGAAAAAATATGAAACATTGTAATATAACATTTTAGCAACCCTGCAGTCTATTATCCAAGGGAGGGACAAGGAAAGTAGGAAACTTTGTCTCATGAGAAGGCCTATGAATTTACATACAAGCGTATCACATAATATCAATTGCACAACACATGCTCCAAATGCAATTGTCCTATAACCATACTCCTACACAAACAAAATTACTAACTCCAACCCTAGATCAAACACTATATTTAACGATAACCTAAACCCTAACCTTAACCTCAAACCCAATTGCAAACATAATTTTTACCCTGTACTTTTGACAAAATGAAACGTGGAGAAAGTGTTACCAAAGCAAATGTCAATGCAGACAAATCCTATTTCTTTCTTTTTTTTATAAATTGCTAATTGTGACAATTAAGGTTAAGACTCACCTAAAGGCTCAATAACTTGGAAGAGTTTCTCTAAGACACGGATTGCCTGATGATGCTGTCGTAGATGATGGAGTAATACAGCATTATTGAAAAAGAAGATGGCTTGATCCGCATCCCCGAGAGAATCAATCTGCTCTAGATCAACATGTACCTTCAAAAATAGAAGAAAAGAAAAAGAGCATGCATGTTATGAGAGATATGTGTTCATATTGCATGGAAAAAATCCACCTATTGCATTGTTAACCTTCGTAACATATCGCTTTCTCAAATAATATGAATACCAGTACTTTTGCTTCTCAGAAAATAACTTTATTTTAGTCATTGCAAAGGTGAAACTTTGATTGGACAATTTCATCGAAATTCAATGCTTGGAAACATTTGAAGTAATGATGATTATTAATGATAAAACGCTTAAATACAGCCCCGGCATAGCACATGAAGAACTCTCTGAACACAGCTGAGATGCGTGACATCACAGGTTGGGCATGACTTTCACAAGCAGACAATGTCCCATGACATCTCACACATTTTCAGTGCCTGTTTTGTCATCTTCTTTTCAGTCAATTCTCTTACTGCACTACTGTCAGGCTTAATGTTTGATCTATTGCCTCACTATCTAAATAGCAGATGGTATTAATTTGATGAAAAATGCAGCGATGAAAAAATAAAGGAATCTGTAGCTTGTAATCAAATAAGACGCCATTGTATTTCAAGCTGCATACATGTACACTGCGGTATGTTCGGTGTTTCAACAGGAAACTAACGTTGAAAATGTGGTTTCTTTGATTGTTCATTAACCCCTATCCTGTGTGTTTACAAACAAAAGCATTTAGTTACCACAATCGGTTTTATATCCTTTTTTGAATGGTGTGAAACGCCAACACATTTATATACACTTAACTCATTATAACTTTTTCTTCATCATAAAAAATAACAATATTTCACAATATTTAGCTCACCCAAACATTACGACTCACAAGCTATCAATGAAGGTACAGAACATTGGATTCTTAGAAGTTGATCCGCATTAACAAAAATGTATATTTTAGAGTGGAAAGAAGAAAGTCAAAAAACATAAATATATTGTGAGATGATTGATAAAACCTGCAAGAGAGACTGAATATTCATAATTTTGTATCAATACTACACTCAAAAGATGTCTACCGCGTAACACCAACACCCACCCACCCCAATTTCTCTCATTATCATTTAACATGCTCCGCAAAAAGAGCTCATAAATGTTTTAAACTAACCTGACTGCAAACGTTGCCAAGGCTGCGTCTATACTCATCCACCTTTCTACATCCCGACTGGTAGAAGAGTGCCACTGCAAGGTTGTGCTGCACCTTAGGATCTGTGGGACGCATGTTAGCAAGCTTACGGACCTGCTCCACGCAGCCATTGTAGTTTCCCGCCTCAAAGTGGCTGTGAGCTGCGGTAGCAACATCCTTCTCTTCTCCCGTGATTGCAGGGAGTTGGAGGGGAGACAGAGACTCGTCTCGCTTGCTTCCTGCGTCCTGCTGCTCACGACTGTCCTTATTGGCCATCTCTTGTCAGGATTCTGAGAATTATGATATTAAGAATCATGAATATTTTTGATAAGAATTGTCTCAGATGCTGTCATACTTCATCCTCATTTCTAAGCAAGAAATTATGAACAGTTGTGACAAGTAGAGAGAAGATTTCTATGGAGTTGTGATCTAACTTTTTTTTCACATGCGTCCTTTTAGGAAGGCCACACACAAACCTGCTGTCCGTTGATCCACACTAGGAAATAACTGGAACCGTGAAGGTTGTCATGTTTAAACTTGAACACTTCAGGAGCCCTGGGTAAAAAACATGGGGGGGGGGGGGTCGGGGGTGAGTCAGTGTGTACCAGACTTTTTCTTTTAGCTTCAGAGGTGTATCTTGTTGAAAGCATGACATTAGTGCATGATCTAAGTGTACCTGAAGTCTATACTTTATCTAGCGAATATTGGAACTTCTTTTCATGTCTAACTTTTATGAATTTCAAAACGCAAATTAATCTGAGGTTAGTTGCTTTTATGATGAAACCCTTCCCTATGTAACAAACTTTGTAACTTCATAGGGCCATCATTAAGAATTTGAAACGTAAATAAATTGAAGGCGAGTCCAATTTCATGATTTAACCCTTCCATATCTAAAAAAAAAAAATTGCTACTTCTTAGGGTCTAGGCGTTCTTTAAGATTTTTGAATCGCAAATGAATCAGATATAATTTGAGTTTCATGATGAGACCCTTCTTTATCTAGTGATCATCTCAACTTCTTGTCATCTTAAAGAATTGTGAAGTGAAAATTAATCAGAGGTGAGTGAAGTTTCATGATGAAACCCTGTATTATATAACGATGATCTTACATGCGACGATCGTGCTTACTTTGGATCCTTCTTAAGAATTGTAAATGTAAATCGAAGGTACATCAACTTACATAATTATAACAAATCACTGCCTTATAGGATGATCGTATAAACACATCTCTTCAATTCTTGTTCCTGAATAGCCCTCTGACCTTTTGCTTTTTGTATTTTGTAGATGTCCGTAGGATACTATTAATTTATGAACTATTTGTATTTTGTTTGTAATTGATTTGTTATTATGTACATGTATTATTTTCAATGTTAATTGATTTAATGTAAATTGTAATGCAAATTCTATTTCTTTTTACTTGTTTTTAGTTATCACTTATCAATCATTTTCCGTTTTCCTTCTAAACCGCTTAGAGGCATTATGCAATTTGCGGTATAGAAATATCTTAGCATTATTATTATTATAAATGTCCTTAAGATGAGAAATGTAAGCAAACATCAGAACTTCCTTTTATCTTTAAGAATTGTGAAGCAAATTTTTTTTGTTAAATTCTCAACCAATTTCAAAGTACTTTGTATAAGTAGCCAGAAGAGTCCACTAGCTACTAGCAAACTCTAAAGCTAGTTTGCAAGGTTTGACAGGAATGGGAATGCAAAATGAACGGTAGGGGCGCTGAACCGAGAATGAGGATCGTCCGTATAAACAAGGATCGTCCACATTTTTTTTTTTCTTCGGCACTCTGCGAGTGTAGGGTTCTCAATCCGCGGTGGCAATGTGGATTCCGGGTATCAAAATACTCCCAGTTCACAGTCTACTTTTACGAGTTGTCCGTCTTCCCAAAGATTTATCGTTCATAACGTGAAAGTCACTGTGCTGCGTCAATGAGAAATGCATCATGGAGCATCATCGAGGGATACATTTTTCACATCGCCAACGCGCAGATCGTTTATAATAAGGATCATCCACGAAATTGATGGCTGGGTGATATCAATATCATATTTGATATCATCACCTAGTCCTAGGCTAGACAGAGCAACATATATATGTCAGCTCGACAGTCACAGACGACACTCCTTCAGAGTCCATGTCAATCACCAATGACTGTCACTTAATTCAATGACAATAATTCTGTTGTTGGACTGGAGTCTACACAATTTCTTCATTACGAAAGGTTAGATAATTATTTTTTAAAGACTTTTCCAAGTGGAAATCATATATCAGATGGATCTACGGTACAATAAAATGTAAATTTAACACTTACACATGCCTGATTACAGCTAACTTTGTCACAATTCTGTATGAGAAGCCCCAACGGAATGTACCACTTCACGTTGAATAACAGTCCCATTCACTCATATTTATGTTAGTTGATCAAAGGGTGGAAACCCCCTACCTAAAGTTTGTTATATATCCATAAGACCCAATTATGACTATTCCCACTCCATAAAAATGTACTTGATACTTACTCATGAACAAATGTGACAAAAAGGTGACGAAAGTGACAAAAATTTAAAGTATTTTCCTGATTTTGATCTCGGCTTGGAATGGACAGGCTCGATTTCGATTGTGTGGTTACATTTACGTACGTTATACGCGCGCGCACGAACGTGTACTTTTCAATGTGCAAATTTACATGCAGCGGACCCAGAGCACACGCAAAACTTCTCACACATAAATGCATTCGAGGTTCCCGCGCTATGCACATTCGTACCCAAGTTTGTACCGCACCCATCTCATCGATTTTTTTACTCAAGTCAGGGGCGGCGATAATTTGTCATTGCGGATGGTGAAGGCAGGGGAGGCCGAGCAACTTCCAAGGTGGGGGGGGGGGGGGCACCAGGAAAAAGGGCACTTTCTGGAGAGAAAAAAAGTGGCACCTACTAATGGTAATCTCAAAGCAAAAATATACAATTTTTTTGACATTGGTTTATACTCCTACATTGTGATTACAACTATCAGGGATGATTTCAACATTTGTCTCACTTTATACACCATAAAGTGAAACAAATGTTGAAATCATCCCTGATAGTTGTAATCACAATGTAGGAGTATAAACCAATGTCAAAAAAATTGTATGATACAAGATATTGATTAAGCATTATGCTATTTATGCTTTGCAGTTGGGTTTGATTGTCTAAAAATTGTTTAAGAGCGAGCGAGCGAAGCGTGCGAGGAAAAAATGTTAAGACGTGTGAGGTCGTAGTGCGAAAAATTACATCTTATAAAGAGGACAAAAACAATCCTAATGGGGTTATGAGCACATTCTCATAACGGAAGACTGAAAAGACCTTTGATAAGTAACGTTAGTAGGCTATATCATATATAGATGCTTGTGAGCGTAGCGAGCGAGCCTTTGGGGGAAATTGCTCTTGAGTCGCTTGAAATTAGCTAGGGCACGTTTAATGATGAGAGGAAAAGGGGACACTTATTAGGAAAGAAAATGAGTATGTGCCAAAGTACAAAGAGTAATTATCAGAGGTGAAAATGGGGCAATTATTACACCCTCAAAAAGAGGCACTCACCAGGGATGACAAGAGTCAAGCATTTATCGACGGAAAAGGGGCCCCCGTCAGATTTTATTATATTGTTAAAAGGGAAATTATCGGAGGTGACTAAAGAGGCACTTATCGCACCTGAAAAGAGGCAACGAACAGATATGAAAAGGGGCACTTATGTGAATGGGAAAGGGGCACTTATAATAAAGTAAAATGTGTATTAGTTAAAAGAAAATGGGCACCGATCAGATTTTAAAGGAGCATGTATCGGAGGTGAAGGGGGCACTTATATGAAGTGAAAAGGAGTAACTTCTCGTACCTGAAAAGGGTCATTTACCAAAGAAGGGGTACTTATGAAAAGGGGAAGGGGCTCTTTTCTAATGGGAGACTTATCATTAGGAAAAGGGGCACTTATTAAAAAGGAAGAAGGGCAAATGTGAAAATATAAGGTGCGCTTATCCGAGTTAAAAGGGGGGTAGTTATTAAACGGGGAAGGGGCACTTGTCAAATTTAAAGAGACACGTACCTCTCAGATTTAAATATGCCAATTTTCAGAGGTGAAGGGGGCACTTATCAAAAGTGAAAAAGAGGCACTTCCCGTACCTAATTAGGGGCACTATACTAGAGATTAAAAAGGGCACTTATATGAGAATGGAAAATGGACACTTATTGCAAAGGAAATGGGAACCTATCGAAGGAAAAGGGGCACGTGTCCAAATAAAAGGGGCACTTATCAGAGTTGAAAAGGGGAAGGGGCACTTGTCAAAGTAAAAGGGGCACTATTCCTATGTAAAAGGGAGCACTTTTCGGGTCAATTATGGGTACTGTGCCCACCCCCCCCCCCCCCAGAGGGCCGCCTCTGGGGGAAGGGGTATTCGAGAAGGCGTAGAAACTGAGCAGGGATGAGTCTTTGCATTCCCTATAATCACATAAATTTAGCATTAAAAAATATATCAACGTCCTTATTACTTTGCGCGAAAAATTTGCATTTTAATAATTTGGAACTTTTTTTAAAAATCATTTAGAGCAATTAGGGGTAGTGAGCACTAATTTTTTTGTTGGCCCTCGAACATTTGAAAAATCGCACATCCCCTCCCTTACCCCCCCCCCCCCCCTTGAGCGCCAGGGCAGGGGGCCCATCTAAAAAAAAAAAGGTAAAATGAACGTGTTTTTAGTCGAGGGAATGATAGAGAGAAGCCCATTACAATAATCAATACGGGATACTAAAGAACGCACAGCATTATGACAGGCAAACTGGTCAATATACCTTCTGTTTCTAGCAATATTAATAAAACGCAGCTTTACTACAGATGTGAGAAATATGGTGAAACATCGACATGCAAGAATCAAATACAATGCCAAGGTTTCTTATAGTTTTTGGTGGGCTAATGAGTGTGCCACCAACATCCAACTGAACATCTGGAAGACAGCGCAAATTGTGAGCTGAAGCAAACCGACTCAAACCGAAACAACCAAGCGAGAAGATTTTCAATATTGAATGGAAATTAATAGCCCCTAGAAATAGCCCTTTACTTTGCATTTTAGAATATTTTACAGCATAAATTGTTTTGTAGTCTTCTTTGTTCGTTGATGTTGTTGTTTTTGGGGCTACATTCTTTTCAATATTCCCGGAGACGAGTCCCCTGAAAATAATCCAGGTGATGTGCCACCCCCCCCCCCTTCCCCGATCGCCGCTAGCAGTGCAAACATCTCATGTGTCTCGGGGTCATCCTAGTAAACCCAAAGTTACACAAAGTCCAAGGACCGCCGACAGCCTACGAGACCGGCGAAAAATAACCAAATAAAGAGAATGCAATAAAACCACAATATCCCCAATACTGAAAAGGAAGATGAGAGAAAAAAAATAGATAAAGAATGAATAATTCAACGATGGCCGTGCATTACACACAAAAACTGACAAATTTGTTTAACACTCTCCTGAAGAAAAACAAATGACCAAACTTGACCAAAGTGCCCTTAAACCAAGCTTTGCTGCCCCCAAATAGTCTGGGTATTGTAGAACCAAGAACCATTGCAAGTTTATTAGATTTCAAACGGGGGAGGGGGTGGGGGGGGGGGGGGGGGGGGCTACAAAGCGGACACTTTTTTTTTTTTTTGGTCTCGAAATTTGAAAATTTGACATTTTTCTTCGTTGGGGGGGGGGGGGTAAGGTCATCTTTTTTAGGTTAGCCGTGGGCATATTTTTTTTTTTTTTTAAATTTTTTTTTATAAATAATAATTTAATTTTTTTTTAAAAAATGGGGGGGGGGGGGGGGTTTACACACATAAAAATACCAAAGGGGGGGGTTGAACCCCCAAAACCACCCCCTGCGTACACCCCTGGAAGGCCCCACAAAGTCATGTTGTATATAGTTGATGTCTATATAATCTAAAAACATTTCAAATGTTTTTGTTTTATAAACAAATAAACAGTTATGTTTCAAAACAGAAAAGTAAATGAGTTAAACTTTTATCAATAAATACTAAACGCAGACAATAAGTTTCTGGCATTAATTATTTAATCTACACTTATTTTGATATGGAACTATACTGTATTGTCTTAAAATCGATGAAACTGAGAATGTGGTGACAGAGAATTTTTAATTTTGAAGACACAAAGCCAATATGAAACTTTTCGAACATTATCTTTGATAAGAATCTAACAATTACATGATATTTAGATGAGGTAGGCCTACTCACGCAAAAGTTGAATTTTCTATCAACAAATTATTTTTTCCCTATAAAATATTGAATTTTAATAGCTTTGTTATGGAATAACCAAAAGATACCTGTCATCCCGTAACAAACCTATATACTGCATAAGTCAATTATGTCTTAATTTTGATGAATGGTTCATAGGAAACCCTAATGTTATGAAAATACCTCAATTCATAGTTAATGAATCATAATAAAAATCAAAATATCTATAATATCTTTAATATCTTTAATCAACATATCTATAATATCTTTAATCAACATATCTATAGTATCTTTAATCAACATATCTATATTATTCTTTATTCAAAATTCAAAATTGTCTGGAAACGTCACTCTGTAATGCTTGTAGTTGACCATGGGGCAATTATCTGCAAAATAGAAATTTGTACAAGACATGTGCCAGGGCAAAATATGAGAACCTTTTGAAATTTGTTTTGAGGGAACAGGGGATGATTGTCAATGATGTTTCAAACTTTGGAAATTATGGTGAATGTGGGACGCGAGGGGGCGGGGGGGGGGGGGGGACTTGTCAGCACTTTTGGAGACACGACTGTATGCTAATGGACTTATCAAAAGAGTAATATGACTGGCAATCATCCTCACTTATAATGAAAATATTCAAAAAAATTGTGTTTTCTTTGAGGTAAAATTGATAACTATAAAGTATGATGACAGCCCAGAGGCTTCAGATAAATGCAAAATGAGATCTAAAATGAGATCTAAAATGAGGCGAGATGTATCATCTAGATTCTAGATGAATATTTGATAGTTTGTGTGAAGATGAAAGTACATGTATTGTACAAGGAAACGATTTCTCAACTCTCAATTCTGGGGGCCGTATCATAAAGAGTTTATATCAATCGCAACTTATTTGCGATTGATATCGATTGCAACTATGTACACAATGAGATACGGGACTGCAAACTCGCGATTGAGTAAAGGACTTGCGGATTCGCAAATCTTTATAACTATAAGACGGGGCCCTAGACAGTAATCCAACATAATACCACTCCCGTGTCTCCTATCCAACGAACTCAAACCATTCTCCTAAGTATCTTGTATTACGCCGTTGATGGCGTACTTCAAGTCCACTTTGCAACAATGAACACTGTCCAAATCGCAAATGACTTTTGTGTTGAATGTGCTCTCCTTAGAAAACGGTATAGGCATTGTTTAATTAGTCATGGAGGTATGCTTCTATAAATAGCCATAACGTAATGTAGCTAAGCTAGCTAATTTGCATAATTGGTTCGCATCCAGTACCGTGTGATCAGGAATGGTTAGGGTCAGGGTTAGAGTTTGGTTTACGTTAGTGCCTCTATGAACTGATTAAGTAATACCTACCTGAGAAAACCGGTATAACTTATGCGAGATTTTGAAGAGAA